ATGATTTGGTGATCCCTTCTGGCCTTAAAATCTATGACTACGACTATGATTCAAATATTCCCACTTTTTCAGTGCAAGGCAGGCCCTGTTTTGTGCCCAGTCACATCCAGCTTCATGTTTTCCAAACTACTAATAGTGCATCTGCCAAATCTAGCATTTTTCCTGGAACATTACTGCTTTCTGGCACTCTTTAGATGTGCTGGAAAGTGGGAAACCAATCTATTGCTTTCTCTGGGTTCAGTTCAAGTAGCATTTCTGTGTACTAGGTAAGAACCACAGCACTAAAACATGAAAGGCCAGGGCTGGGATTTTCAAAGGCATCTGAGGGAGTTAGCTGCCAAAATCCCATTGAAATTCAGTCCATGGAATGTACGCTACTTTTGCCTGAGGGATTCTTCTTTACCAGGATCTAAGTTAAAAGGAAGCATTTAACTTATTGTGTTGGTCTCAGTTTATTCTAATGTTACTTTGCATGAGCAGAAGAAGGTCAAATTGCAATACGTTTAATGTTTCCTTTTAACCAAAGTATTTATGTCACTGTATATGCAAAATCACCATCTATTCTTCGTATTTCTTCCAACATCCTTCATGAGAGTAAGCTAGTGGGGAAATATCTTCAATATTCATAGACAGATTATTTCTCTCATACATATGTTTGGCTGCCCTTTGGCAAACATTATTAAGTCTCCTATAGAAGGCACTCCCTAGCTCCAAGATGTGACATAATTGTTTACAATTAACTAAAGGAACTGGTTTTACCACAGTAGATTAGTATATTGTCCAAAAAAAATAACCCCCAAAAATCCCTAGTGAAAGTGATCCAATAAAAAGCTTCAAGCACAAGAGAGTTAGCCACAAACTGTGACTTCCTATTCTGGGTCATAGCTGTAGAGTACTCAGATGACCATATATTTCCAATATGTCACCACACATTAATTCCAGATTGACACACCAGATGACCAAGTTGCGTCCATGCTTTGGGCCAAAGTCTGCTGTCAGGGGTAGCATTCTGGACTATCTCTGACTGTCAGAGGACTTGGTTCAGAGCAGCACTCAAGTCAGGTTACTCTACACTCCGTCAGGGCCAGGGGCAAGATAACACTGGTCCAAGAGTCAGGAGCCACAATCAGCTGAGAATCTCCCAATGACTCACACACTCAAATTAAATTTTGAGTGGAATTACTCCAGATTCTCAGTTGTGCCCCTGACAGTAAAATCAGTCCTTCATCTGTCAATGTAAGGTACTTCTAGGGAGATCATCATGGTCTCTTCTGAACACTGATGATAACACTTTGTGCTGTTCTAATGCCTTGCGTATGACGATCTCAAAGACTACTCAAACAAATCTTAATAAATTAAGCTGCACTGCAGCCCTGTGAGAAAGGAAGTGTTAATGTCCTGTATTTACATATGGGAACTGAGGCACAGCTTGTTATTTTTGCAGTTTATTTTAATTCCTCCATCTCCAAACGATGGTCACATAAACACCACCCTATACCGGAAACCTTCTGACCGCTATTCCTACCTACATGCCTCCAGCTTTCACCCAGACCACACCACACGGTCTATTGTCTACAGCCAAGCTCTACGATACAACCGCATTTGCTCCAACCCCTCAGACAGAGACAAACACCTACAAGATCTCTATCAAGCATTCTTACAACTACAATACCCACCTGCTGAAGTGAAGAAACAGATTGACAGAGCCACAAGAGTACCCAGAAGTCACCTACTACAGGATAGGCCTAACAAAGAAAATAACAGAAAGCCACTAGCCGTCACCTTCAGCCCCCAACTAAAACCTCTCCAATGCATTATCAAGGATCTACAACCTATCCTGAAGGATGACCCATCACTCTCACAAATCTTGGGAGACAGGCCAGTCCTTGCCTACAGACAGCCCCCCAACCTGAAGCAAATACTCACCAGCAACTACATACCACACAACAGAACCACTAACCCAGGAACCTCTCCTTGCAACAAAGCCCGTTGTCAACTGTGCCCACATATCTATTCAGGGGACACCATCACAGGGCCTAATAACATCAGCCACACTGTCAGAGGCTCGTTCACCTGCACATCCACCAATGTGATATATGCCATCATGTGCAAGCAATGCCTCTCTGCCATGTACATTGGTCAAACTGGACAGTCTCTACGTAAAAGAATAAATGGACACAAATCAGATGTCAAGAATTATAACATTCATAAACCAGTCGGAGAACACTTCAATCTCTCTGGTCACGCGATTACAGACATGAAAGTTGCGATATTACAACAGAAAAACTTCAAAACCAGACTCCAGCGAGAGACTGCTGAATTGGAATTCATTTGCAAATTGGATACAATTAACTTAGGCTTGAATAGAGACTGGGAGTGGCTAAGTCATTATGCAAGGTAACCTATTTCCCCTTGTTTTTTCCTACCCCTCCCCCCCCACTGTTCCTCAGACATTCTTGTTAAACCCTGGGTTTGTGCTGGAAATGGCCCACCTTGATTATCATACACACTGTAAGGAGAGTGATCACTTTAGATAAGCTATTACCAGCAGGAGAGTGGGGTGGGGGGAGAGAAAACCTTTTGTAGTGATAAACACCCATTTTTTCATGGTCTGTGTGTATAAAAACATCTTCACTATATTTTCCACTTTATGCATCCGATGAAGTGACCTGTAGCTCACGGAAGCTTATGCTCAAATAAATTGGTTAGTCTCTAAGGTGCCATAAGTACTCCTTTTCTTTTTGTGAATACAGACTAACGCGGCTGCTACTCTGAAACATCTCCAAACAGTTATTTCACCTTGTCATTTACAGTGTTAAAGCTGCAGATCGTGAGCCAGTGTAGGGCAAGCCACAATACCACATACTAATACCTCTGCATCCTGCTTCTACTAGCATTTTGAGTAATTGTACTTTATCTTTGTTTAATTGCTAAAAAACCTATTTCCTCCCATTTCAGAGAACTCACATCTCTCAGCTCACCAGACCTTCACTTCTGGACAGCAAGGCTTCGGAAGTAACTTTTTCTGTTTAGCCCCAAATGGTATCATGCTCCCGTGCCCAAATAATACAAAGTCCTAAAAAATAGAGACGCTGAGCAACAGTGTGTATAATTGGTTCCAGAATTAACCCAGGAAACAGGATCTATTATTTTTGTTTGCAACTTAAATTATGGAGCAACTGTTTTAAGGAAGCTTATGTTTAAATAAATTGGTTAGTCTCGAAGGTGCCACAAGTACTCCTTTTCTTTTTGCGAACACAGACTAACACAGCTGCTACTCTGAAACCTGTTTTAAGGAAGAAATTTAAGTTATCTTCATTTTAAAAGTCTTCATTTTTAATCTTTTCTTGGAGTGTGTGTCATGTACTTTTATTAATTTTCTTAATGCAGTTGAATAATAATAATGAATAATAGATAAAAGACTTTAGAAGAAATAGAAGAGATGAGAAGGGGACAGATAGTTCTATGGTACAAAAGGCTTGGAAGAATTAGCTTTTTATCAGTAATTGTTGATAAAAATCAATTTCATCATACCCACAGAAACCGGAAAAAATATTTCCATCAGTAATCATCAAAATTTACATATTGGCAAACAAGAAAAATGCTGCTTAAGACCTTATTAGATTTTGATTTAAGGATATTTACTTTGTATATTTTGACCTGTAATTTTGGTAATTTGTGTTTTTGTTGGATCATATTAAAGAAGTTCTGTATTAAAATCACAAATGAATTTGATTCCCCATAGTTTAAATTCCAGGGTATTACTAATTAAGAGGTCTCTTGGCTTTCGGTACTGTTTCTCTCCCTCTATGTGTGAAACTTGCAAGCTGCTAATTGCATTAGTACATTCTAAGACAGAGTCTGTTCTCAAAGCAATTCACCCAGAGAGAGACTCAAAGCAATACTCTGTAACAACAGAAGCAGCACCCAGAGATTCCCCGCCTTTTTGTTGTATTAACAATTGTGATTAAAATAGAGATAGAGGATGTATGTGGATGGATGCTTGGTGTGGATAATAACTGAATGATCAGGGAGGTGCCAGCCTAAGAATCAGTGTCCATCGGCTGAAGAAGGCGTCAAGTGGAAATAACCAGAGGACCCCCTGGAGGGCAGACTGGAATCCACCCAACAGCCTCAAGAATGGGAGAACCAAAGAACAAGATAAAATCTAGCAGTATGGAGCCGTCACAGGAATGTGCTATCTGCTGATTGATTCAGCAACAGCATGACGAAGCAATTCCCATAGACTGGCATAGGAAGAAATTCCTATAAAAATGGACTCTAGAAAGTGAGAACTTTGGGGTCTGATTCTGCAAACCAACTCCCAGGAGCATCAGATGAGCATCTGAAAAGGCCCTGCTCCCTCCTCATGTCCAGGCCACCTGGCCAGTGGCTTGGCATGAGCAACTCTAAGTCTGGTAACTATGATAACAACCTTGCAGAATCTGTGTGTGTGTGTTTGTATGAATGAATGTGTGAATAAATGTGAGATTGAATGGAATGTTATAGCTATAACTAACTGCTTACTATGATTCTTTCTGTATTCACAATAAATGTGGTATTTTGCCTTTTTCCCTTTTATAAGATCCTGCAGGTTTTTAATTTATTGGTATAACATTTTAACGGTTATAAAGCTTTAACTTCTTGAATCTCAAAATCTACTGTCATTAAATAATTATTGTTTGACCCCATGTGATGGGCTCTCCACCCCAGACAGGACTGGAAGCTGTTAAGGTGGCCAGGTAGGCCTATTAGCTCACAGACTCATAAACTTTCAGGATGCACCTGAAGAAAGAGCCAGGGAGCAGGGAAGTGATTGCAAGCAGGTTCAGCTGTGTACGAATAAGTGGGGCCTATAAAGCCAGGAAGCTGGTAACAGACAGGGGCAGCTGCTGGGAAAAGGCAGTCACTCCCTGGGAAGAGGGAGGAGGTTTTGGAGGCAGTACACTCAGGGAAAGGAGGGGAGCCAGAGTGATAGGAAGCAGTCCAGGGAATGAGCAGTGAGGGCTGGGAGAGGAAAGCCGAGAACTGCTGGGCTGAATGTCACTGAACTGGAACCCAGAGTAGAGGGTGTGTCTGGGTTCCCCCACCCACCACTGGGGAAGTGGCACAAGCAGGGTAGTGAATGGAAAGACCTGCCTGAGTCACTGTGAGAATGGAAGGATTGTACCCGGCAGGGGGAACGTTGAGTGACCTAGCTGGAGGACTGAGTCACTAAGAGGATGCTGCTGTTCCTGGATGAGAGAGGAGCTGCGGACCTGAGAGAGAGGTGCAGCGATACAAAGGGGTGTTGACCTCAAGAGCTAATCCCCAGAGTGACTAGGAGGAGGTGCCAGACAAGTGGTGAGTAGAGCACCCTGTGACATCCCCTCCCCCAATAATTTCCCACAACTGTGAAAATGTAAGTCAATAAAAAATTAAAGTAAAAATAAACATTAATATTATCTATCAAAACTATAAAAAATAAATCAAATTCTGCCAAGCCTAACTCTGACACTGGCAGTAGTAAATATGCAGTGCAAATTAGCATATGTTCATTGTAGCAGGAAAATCCCTGATCAGTTCACTTACACTGCATGGATTGGCGTTTCTTGCAACGGCAGAGTTATAAATAGAGGACAAGGTGGGTGAGGTAATCTCTTTTATTGGACCAACTTCTGTTGGTGAGAGACAAGCTTTTGAGCTTAAACCGTGTTCTTCTTCAGGTAATTTATTTTCTGTGTAAGCTTAAAAGCTCGTCTCTCACTCCAACAGAAGTTGGTCCAATAAAAGATATTACCTCACCCACCTTGCCATGCTTATACACTGTCTTTAGTCAGAAGAGCTATAATACATTTAACATTAGCTAGTACTAGCTTCTAAATGAAATGAAATGAAAAGAACCAACAATCAATCAAAACTTCCATAAGATGAATGTTAAAAGCATTTATTTTTCTATGTGTGGCTTCAATGGGATATTGATCATTTCATTACCATGCATGTCAAAATAGTTTATTCTCATGTTGCCACTTCTGAGAACAACAGTTTATTTCTTCTGGTACTTCAAAAATGCTAAATCTGTGGCCTTGGAAAAAGACTACATACTTTGCTTAGCGTCTGACTTTTCTCACTGGTGTGTTCTCTTCAGTTATTCATCTAGCAATGAAAAGAAATCATCAGGTCACAAATACAGGAACTGCTCCTGAAGGCTGCAGAGCAGACAAAGTTTCCATTTAATGGGAGTCTTTGCTAGTGTTAGCAAAAATTGCAGGAGTGGGTCCAAAAAAAGAAAATTGTGGACAAACCAGCTGACCAGCTTAAAGAAAATACATTATTGCGACCTTTCCATTTCTGCATGATAAGAATGAAAGTAAATAAAATAACATGGCTCTATATATGCATAGAGCCCTGCAAATCCATGGATATTTGCTTTTTATCTGCAGATATCCATGGATCATTTTTACCCTATTGTTTTAGGGTAACATTATATACTTTCATATCTTTTAAAAATTTAAATTAAAATCATAAGTTATTTAGAAAAAAGGAACAAGAAGATGGGTACATGACTGAATCGTTTGCAATTGTCTTTTTAATTTACCATTCAGAATAATTTGTCATGTAATTTCGGCAAATAATTCTCAAACATTTCCAATATTCAAAATTAGGTTATGTTGGTTAGTTTTGATTGGTCACATGGTATGATTCTTTTTCTGGATTGCATGAGCAGAACTCTTAGAATCAGAATTCCAATATAACTGTTCAGCTATTAATTCAAAAGGCACTTTCCACAAATATCCTTCAATATATTCTTAACATTTATCATTTTTCTTTCCATTGCTACCAGTAAAATTAATCACTAAAATATTATAGAAAACATACACAAAACAGACAAGAACTCCACTGGATGAGGAAACCACTCTCACCAAAGTCTCACGAACTTCCTAGTTCAGAAACCAGTCTCTAGTCTCATCCCGTTTAACCTGTCAGCCACTGTTGGCTTCCATGACCCTATTCTCCCCTGGGTCTCCTCCTATCTCTTTAACTATGCCATCAGTGTGATCTTCAGAGGATCCTCATCATCATTCCTCCAGCTTTCTGTGGTGGTCCCACAGGGCTCTGCCCTTGATCTCCTCCCCTCTCCCTCTACACTTTATCTCTGGGTAATCTCATCTGCAGACAAATTCAGCTATCATCTCTATGCTGACAACCCACAGATTTCTCTATTCCAGACCAGTCTCCTGTCCAAACTAAAATCTTAGCCTGTCTCTCTGACATCTCCTTGTGGATGTCTAGCCACCAGCTCAAGCTCAACATGGCTAAAACAGAGCTCCAAGCCATTCCCCAACTCTCCCAACCACTTGCTTTCTCAATTGCTGAACACAACACCACCACCCTGCCTGTCGCCCAGAGCTGTAACCTAAGCTTCAACTCAGAACTCTGTCTAGGTCCTCACATCCAGGCTATGTCTAAATCTTGCTGATTCTTTCTGCAAAACATCACTAAGATACAATCATTTCTACCCATCCAAGCAGCTAAAACTCTCATCCAGGCACTCATCATCTCACATCTCAATTACTGCCCATCCTTCTCTCTGGCCTTGACAAACTAATCTTACCTCACTTACATCCATTCAGAATGCTGCTGCAAAGGTCATTCTCCTAGCCTGTCGCTTTGACCATGTCACCCCTCTCTGAGTCCCTCCACTGGAGCCCCTTTCTCTATGACATTAAACATAAGATGCTTGCATTAATTTTCAAGCTCCTTTATGGTCTATCCCCACCCTACTTGTCATCCCTCATTCACTATCAAGATGTTGACTGTCCCCTCCAATCAGCCCATGGTGTCAGCCTCCATCACCCACCGGTTAAATTCCCTAAAAGCCCCTGCCATGCTGGCCCTTGTGCTTGGGAGGATCACCCCATAAACATCTGCAAAATTACCACATTCTCCTCCTTCAAAACCCTCCTTTGCTGTGATACCAACATAACACCTGACTGCTGGTGTGCTGAGACCTCTGCCTATCGTGCTGACCAATACTGTCTCATTGTTTCCTTGTATTCCCCCATCAAGCTGTCTGTACCCATCTCTTGTTTCTTATCTTATGCTTAGATTGTGTGCCTCTTGGGGCAGGGACCATTTTTGTTCTGTGTTTGTACAGCACCTAGCACAATGAGGTCCTGGTCCATGACTGAGGGATCCAGGTGCTATGTTAACACAAATAATATTAAATGAACAATCCAAGCACATTCATTTTTAAATGCAAGGAAATGGTCACGGTGAATTCTTTTCATTATCTGCCCCACTCTAGAATCCAGGAGTCAGGGGAAAGACACTTTTGCCCCATCCTCTCCTCAAACCAAGTGGTCTTGCAAGCAGGTGCACAGGGCTGCAGCACCACTGAAGTTTGGCCATGAAGGCTGCTTCACCATGACAGAGAGGCAGCTGGGCCAAACCCGAATGGCAATGCCACTCCACACACCAGGTCACAATGTTCAGAGCAGGACCCAGCCTCATGGGACACTGTTGCTGCAGGGTACACTGACTCTCTAACCCTTCCTCCCCCCTGTGGTAATTTTTTGGAAGGATGGGAGGGGCTCATTTTCAGATTTTGCCGCACGTCCCCAAAAAGCTCTGTGGCCCTGCTAGAATCAAATCAAAGAACCTCTGAAACCAACGTAGCTGCCTACACTAACAGTGAAGTTTTGGCTCATTTCGGAGTGCACAGGTGACATATATAATACCCAGCAATGGATCATATAACAAACATGAATAAGGAACAAACATTAATCAAGCTCATCCAATCTTCCAATGATCAAGACAGAGCTGCTATTTATGACAACTGACTTGTGAAACCGATGTAACCAGTCTTTTCCTGGTTCAGCACTACTTCCTTAAGTAAGCACACACAGAGAACATATCTTCCCTAAACAGACAGAGAAACAAGGCAGTGACTACCTTCAAGAGACCATATCTCCCCTAAATCAGTTGTGAGTAAAATTTTTCATGTAAGCATTTTATTTATTCGGCTCAAACTTGTCTTTACATGGTAACCTTAGACATAGAGGGGAAGAAAAGGAAACGCTTTTCTGAATCTGATTCATTTAGAGTTACTGATAAATGTTTCCAGTTCGGTGATACTTGGCTTTTTACAATTGCCAGGGAAATACTTTCATCTGGTTTTGAAATTTTGAGGAACAACAGGGTACTTTTGTCTCTCCCTCTCAAATGAGCTCACTGAGAGGCAGGGACTTAATCTATTTGCTATGTGTGGCCGCGAGGGCCAGCGGGAAGATACCAGCGAAAGGAGGACGCTCAGGCCCAAGAATAGTAAACTATCCTTTATTGAAGGAAGGAAGAACTTGCGCCCCAATCTGCGCGGGGAGCCCCTAGGACGCACGGAGCCGCTGCCAGGGACTCTGGCCGTTCGGGACAGCTGACCAGACAGGATTCTGCCGGGGGGCATCCTCTGCGGCGCTATATTCTCTGCTCTTATCTCAGGGTTACCTGAGGTCAACAGCTGGTTACATTCTTACATGTATTATTTATGCTTATTACATAAACTGACTCGTTTACAGGCAAAAATGCTGAGCTATGCTACAATAGCTTTTGGCGGGGTCTGTCAAAGTTCATTGAAACTGCATGCATCCTCTGCTTACATCCAGTCACGTACTCAGTCCACCACTTAGCTCCTCACCAATCTTCCGCAACCTTGCCCCTACACTATGCTTCTGAAAAAAGTTGTTCTCAGTTTGAATTAGAAGTATTAACACAAGATTGCCACAAATGCAAGATTCTTGAAGTGTGGCTGTGCACAGAAAGTGCTTCAAAGCTCCTGCTGATTCAGGAATAGTGCCATGAAAATGTGTCTTCACTTTTTTCTTGGTGTTCACAGGAAACTTGCTAGAGATATTTAGTATTCACTTTGTCCAACACAGGTTTTACCCTCTACTTTTTTTGAGGTTTTACTGTTCAAAAGCAGAAGTGGCATGTCTGTCCTGTGAGATGCCACTACATAGTTACAATATTTTTCCTTCATCTGTGCATGATTTTGGAGAAGGAAATGAAATACCCCAAGCAGAACTGAAGAAAGTAAATTGACCATTAAGAAAAAGTATGTAATTTGTAACTTTGCCAGCTAGAAGAGAGGAGTTGCCTCTCTGAAAGGTGTTCTTTGCTGATAAGAATCAATTTTCATTTCATTTAATGAAATGAAATTTCTTATTTGTGTGGGGAATAAGTTGAACTGCTAGGTACAGTAGCTATAATACAATGGCTAAATCTGTGTGCTCCTGTCTCCTTCTTGTGGCTGGCTGCCTGCATATAATGTATGTGTCTACTATCACCATCAGCCAGTGGAGTTACTCCTTCAGATCAAGGGGGGGAGGTCTGTGGTTTTGGTCCATAAACATCATAACCTCTATCACAACTGATGACCTTGGTAAGGAGCTCATTACAGAAAGCCAGCTTACTTTCTTGTGGTCTCACTCATAGAACTTCACTATACAGAGAAACGTAATTGTACTGACTACAGCTGTTTGAAAATTTGGGATTTTCCTTTCACAGGACATTTTTATAATTCAAAATTACTTTCCATTCCAAACTGGAGCCAAAAGTCAAAATGTCAGAATTTTTCACAAAAAATGAAGAATTCTGAAAAGTTTCAAATTGGAAATGTCAAAACAGAAAAATTAGGACATTTTCAATCGAAATGAAATGATTTGACGTAAAATTATTCTTTCAACTCAATGCTTCAAAATAAAAAAATTTCATTCCAAAATGCTGATTTCAAAGAAAGCAAAATAATTAGACTGAATTTCAGTCTAAAGGGTTGTTTACACTGTACACTCCTCATGTCAGGGAGTAGAGTACAGAAGCTGCAAACTCCTCCCAGCACAGGCATAAATAGCAGTGTAGATGATGAGACACTGCTTAGGTGAGAAGAGACACACTAGAACCTTAGGGCATGTCTACACTGCAATTAAACACCTGCAGCTGGTCTGTGGGACCTCACCAGGTCCCAAAGCCCAGCTCCAGCCTGAACCTTAACATCTATACCTCAATTAAACAGCCCTGCAGCCTGATCTCCCCCCCCCCCCCAGAGCAGTGGTTCTTAACCTGGGGTGCACACGCCCCTGGGGGGTGCAAGACGCCCTTTCTGGGGGGTGTGAGACATGCCAGATTTTTTTAGATGGTAAATCATCGAAAACACAAATTCAGCCCAGGCACGTAAGTACAACAAACAGTTGTTTCAGAAAATGAAGGAATGGCCATCACAACTAAAGTGACAAAGCATTTGCAACAGTTGAGTGACTCTTTCCAAGGATATTTTTCCACTGTAGATCTTGATGTAGAAAAGAAATGGATACTGGATCCATTTCTTTTTAACCTGGATTCCATCAACGATAGTGATTTGATGAAAGATCTCATTGAATTATGAGCCAATGGCCGAATCCAAATGGAGTTTGCGAAATGATGCTTGGGAATTTCTGGTGTCCTCAACTAGCACCGTTTCCACAACTGATGCAGACGGCACTGGAGATCCTTGTGCCATTTGTGACTACATACTTGTGTGAGAGGGTTTTCATCACTCTTACACATCAAAACAAAGGCCAGAAACCGCCTAAATGAGAGTGAAGACATGCGTGTGGCTATTTCAAAAAAAGTTCCTCATTTCTCGAACATCATTGAACAAAAGCAACAGCAGAAGAGTTGGTAAACTTAAAGTGTGTAATTTTTCATGTATTCTTAATTTTACTGTGAAATTAAAATAAATACCATACATACTCGATCACAAGCCAGTTTGTTTATAAGCTGAGCCCCCCCAAGATGGATAAGGAAAAATGGAAAATTTTTATGACCCAGTCATAAGCTGACCCTATAATTCAGCAGTCAGCAAACTTTGGCTACCGGGCCATCAGGATAAGCCACTGGCAGGCCGAGATGGTTTGTTTACCTCTAGCGTCCACAGGCACAGAGGTAAACCTAAGTAAATAAAGTGTCCCGGCATGCCAGAACTGGTGGGGAAATTTTTGGAGGAAGGAAAAGCTGGGGTCAGGGGAGTAACCCCTGTGACCAACTCCAACATGACCCCACCCCTAGCCCGAGACCCCCACACTTTCCCCATCCCACCTTAGCTGGGGCGGGCCAGGGGAGGATGTCTCTGGCCTAGCCAGAGCTGCTCTGGCAGGCTGGGCAGCGCAGTCACAGCCTGCTCCGGCAGGCGGGGCCAGAGCATGCTCTGGTGGGTGGGGTCGGGCGGCGCAGCCGCGGCCTGCCAGCCCCGGAGCTGCAGCTGCTTCAGAGGCTGTGGGGAGAGCAGCGTGGCCAGAAGCGGAGAGCCTCTGGCCCTGCCTCTTCCCTCCTGGCTCTTCTGGCTGTGCTGCCTCTCCTTGCCCCCTCTGTTGGGGGGTGGGGCTGCGTCCCACCTCTCCCGCTCTCTATACCCGTTCATAAGCCGACCCCCTTCTCTTGTGCTTTCCTTTTTTACTAAAAAAATTCAGCTTACAAACGAGTATATAAGGTATATAATTCTATCTCTTTCAGTCTATAGTTATGATATATCTAGGTTTAAAGAACTGACCTACTTCAACCATTTTTGATAAGGGGTGCGAGAACATATTTTGAGAACCAAAGGGGTACAGGCTGCAGTAAAGCTTAAGAACCACTGCCCTTGAGAGTCAGCTGAACACAGGCCAGCCAGGGGGTGTTTAATTGTGGTGTAGACACACCCTTAGATTGTGTATCCTCTGTGGCTCTCTACACACCCAAGCAGTGCCTCACCCATCTGCACTATGATAAACCGAATTATTTTTCCAAAGAAGCTGATTAAAGGTCACAGAGAAAAGCAACATTCTTTTGTGTATACATAAGTTTACACACTAGAACTCCTTGTTCTAATGTACAAAGAAAATATACTTAACCACACTGGGATCAAGCATTTGTTTATCTAGTTCAGTGACCTCTCCCCACAACTGAAGTCACAGGGGACAGCAAAGTTAAGCAACACAAATTAGTATATGTATGTATCCTGTTCTGCAACACTTATGTGCAACACCTTGCAATGCAAGAGGCTGCACCCACTTCCATCAAAGATATTTACAAGAAGACAAGCATAACATGTAACACAGGCCACTCTAGCTATAAGCAAATGAGGAAACAGCCTAGGGCAGCAGATTTCTGGGCAGCTCTCTAGGGTGGCAGATTTGGTCCAGCCGACCCTCCACCATAACAGAGAATTAGCTGGGCCAAATCTGAGTGGCATTGCAACCCAGGGTGCCCCGTCACAACACCACTCACTTACATTTGCCCTGGCTACTCTTCTGTCATGATGGAGGCACAACCAGGCCAAATCTACTGCCCTAGGAGGGGGCAAGCACACTGAAGTTTTACCTAGGGCAGCAGATTGTCTTGAGCAGCCTCTGACAAGCAGCCACATTAGCTAGGAAATCAGGCAAAAGATATATGGGTCCTTGTGTTTTAGGGCATAAAGTGATTACATGTGGGGATAAGAAAGGAACACCCCTCCCTCCCACAATACAATACAGGAACATCCCTCCCTCCCACAATACAGAACAACAGGTTAAATGCATGTGCTTTGCTTTTGCACTGTTTAGTTGTTTGGTTGTTTTTGTCTTCTTCCAGATGGAGAATTTGGCCAGAGTGAATGTAGCAGCAATGACTGCCTGCAGCAGTGAGATAGCAGTGTCTATATGCAGTGTATAAAAATACTAAGTTACCTTCTCTCTGTTTAGCAGGTCTCCCAGATTATTTCATTGTGTCTTGTTTTCTGTGTCATGGCCCTAGATGAGGAGGCACAACCAATTGTTTTTCACTCAAGTTTTGACTGTAATGAATGCTGGTATGTCCATTGTTAATTATTTATTATTTGCTCATTCTTATTATTGCAGTCGATCCCAAAATGTGGTAGACTCTTACCAAACACAAAAGGCAACACAGGGTTGAATGGTCAGATTCACTTCTAAAGGAGCAGGGATGCAAATTGCACCCTCCTGAACTCATGGGACGAATGTACTAGAGGAGAAATTTACTCCCTGAGGGGGACAAGTGCCACCATCCTCCTCTGGGACTCTGTCTGGGAAAGACAGTCTTAGATTCCAATTGGGAGGAGCTCTGCTAGTGGACTGTCCCCCGGAAATGCATAATCCCAGTAATCAGCGTATTTGTGATTATAATCTATTTTTACCTGTATTACCATAGCACCTAGGAGCTGTAGTCCTGGATCAGGACCCCATTGTGCGATGTGCTGGTCTGCTCCCTTCCACGATGGCCCTACCCACATTTTTGGGGTGCTGCAAGGAGGAAGGTTGGGGGTGGCTTGTGCAGCTGGACCCCTGCTCCTCATAGACCTTGCACTGCCCGTTGCTTTATTGTGCTAGTACAAATCAAGGAGTGAGTGCAGCCCAGTCTTGTCAGTCTCCTTCTATACAGCCTTCATTTTTGCTGCCCTGCTCTAAACTCTTTACATCTCAACTATGTCTCCTTTGGAGCTGAGGCTCTGAAAAGGGGATGCAGTGTTCAAGGGTCCTTTTATTCTGTAAAATCCCATCATAACATTTTTGCCATGTTAGCTTTTGTCCTCATTTTAATCAAGCAATAATCCTATAGGTGCAGAACACTGAGGAAGTCGCTTCAAGGAGCTGTGTCCTCTCCTGTTTAAATGAACTCGGAACAAAAGTGCGGGAAAGCCTCCCTTCATTGGTTCTTTCTGTTTCAGGAGAAAAGGGACCAGAAGTCTTTAGTGAAAATGTTTTTCCACATCCTCATCTTTCTGACCGTCTTCTATTTGTGGTGGAGATGGAAGGCACAAGATGCGCAGAAGATTAGAGATCTCACAGACAAATATATATTCATCACTGGATGTGACTCGGGATTTGGAAATCTGGCAGCAAGGACTTTTGATAAGAAAGGATTTCGAGTTCTTGCCAGTTGTCTGACTGAAGCGGGAGCAGTGGAGCTAAAAGCAGCAACCTCAGAGCAGCTCCAAACAGTGTTGCTGGATGTGACAGATCCAGACAATGTTAGGAAGGTGGCTGAGTGGATTAAAGCTGAAGTGGGGTCAGCAGGTGAGTGACAGAAGATCTGGATTATTTCCTATGTAGCCCCTCCCTGAGGTGTGGCTCATACCTCCTCCTTTATGCTTGCTTCTTGGAACTGGCTTCTCCCCTCTCCTGAGATCTTTTTAGTGATGCTGGTGTCTCCACCCAAGATGACTCCTTGCTGTGCCTGTGACACAAGGTTGCTGTCCCTGGAGAACATTAATACTACCATTGCTAGCAAGAAGTATAAAACCCAGCACATGCAAAACAATTAAATACATCAACATAAACCCCAGTAAAGAAATGACACATCCAAAAATAACAATATAACAGCAGTGACCTTTACTGGGAGCAGGACTATAGGTTCTGGGGAAGGAAAAGGTTAGGGTTAACTAATAAGTACTAAAACATGAATAAATCAACCAATTCCCCACCTCTCAACATGCACAACACCTTCCAGCCCACAGCTGGCACATCGCAGGTAGGTGATATGGTGGGGGTGAGTTTGGAGATGAGTGTTGTAGCACTGTTGGCCAACTAAAATAAAAACAAAATGGTCCTCTTACAGTGTCTTTACCCTTAGGTGGGCAAAGTCTTGTCATGGCTCTCTGGTTGGGAGTCCAATGGAGGTTTTGGTGGGTTGGATCTCTATCACTGTGGACACTGGTCTCTGCAGAGCTGGAACTGCCTGACCCATGCACTAGACTCCACAGCAATTCAAAGATTCTCCTTTGTAGGGAGGGGAAGTTAATCAAAGATCCCCTGAGTTGGTCTGCTTCTCGCTCCGCTCCCAAACTCAAAACTGAAACAAAAACTGGTCCCTTTGTCTCTGAGTCGGGACAAAGCCCCATCGAGGGGCTGAGCAGCCCTGGCTCATCACTGGCCCAGTAAACTGCTTGTCCATATCACCTCATCCACAAACCACCCTATTGACCTCAGCAAGGGTTTCTAAACCATTCTATCTCCACCCCTGGCTCCAAGCATGCTTGGAAATGGTGTCAGAGGGCTCTGGTAGCCGTTATTATTATAGTCCAGAGGGTAGGAACCCCGGGAAGCTCAGTCGAGAGCTCTAGGAGCTGAGCAAACTCCAATGAGAGGTTACACTTACGTGAATTGCAACTGTTTAAGAGGCATGGATAAAAACTGCAAAATAGATCCCTCGGGATATTTGTTTGAAATTTGTATTTGGCTGTGTTGTCTTTTATATCGCTTTCCACAAATATTCTAATGGATGACTTCACTGGAAGGAATCTTTATGGATTCAGTTAATTTTAGGTGAATATTGGAGAATATTGTTGGAAAGTAGACAAATATTCACAATGGAAACTGAATTTTATTGACTTTGATGGGACTGTTTGTGTTTCAAGCTGAGCACATCCTTAAGTGCATTGCTGGATCAGTGCCAGAGTGATCAGCACTTTGCAGAACGAAGTCCCCTGTTAGAGAGCAAAGCAGCTGAGAAAAAAGATGACTACAGGGCATAGGCACCAACTTCCCTGCTTTCCACTGGGTGCTCGACCCCCGCCCCACTCTGCCCCTGGCCCCGCCCCCCACTCCACCCCTTCAATGTGGCCCCGCCCCTGCCCAACCCCCATTCCAACCCCTTCCCCAAACTCCTCACCCCAACTCTGCCACCTCCCTGCCCCTATTCCAACCCCTTCCCCAAATGCCCACCCCGGCCCTGCCTCTTCCCCGACTCCTCCCCTGAGCACTCCACATTCCTGCTCTTCCTCCTCCCTCCCAGCACACCACCAAACAGCTGTTTGGCAGCAGCTGGGGGGAAGTGCTGGGAGGTAGGCAGAGGAGCAGGGACGTGGCGTGCTCAGCTAGGGGGAGGACGAGGAGGTGGGGGGGTGAGGGGAGCTTGGCGTCCAGTGGGTGCAGAGCACCCACTAATTTTTCCCCATGGGTGCTCCAGCCCCGGAGCACCCACGGAGTCAGCATCTACGCTAAAGGGGGGATATGAGTAAGGTCTATAAAATCATGAATGGTGCAGAGAAAGTGAATAGGGAAGTGTTGTTCACCCATTCACATTACACAAGAACCAGGAGTCCCCAATGAAATTAATAGGCAGCAGGAACAAAAGGAAGTACTTCTTCACACAGCACACAGTCAACCAGTAGAACTCTTTGCCAGGGGATGTTGTGAAGGCCAAAAGTATAACTGGGTTCAAAAACAGATAGTTTAATGGAGAATAGTTCCATCAACATGGCTATTATTCAAAATGGTCAGGGATGCAACCCCCAAGTTCTGGGTATCCCTAAGCCTCTGACTGCCAGAAGGTGGGCATGAATGACAGGGAATGGATCACTCGATAATTGCCCTGTTCATTTCCTCTGAAGCATTTGACACTGGCAACTGTCAGAAGACAGGATTCAGAACTAGCTATAGCATTGGTCTGAACCAGGGTGGCCATTCTTTTGCTCTTTAAGTATACCGTGAGAGCTATGTACAGAGTTAAGATTTTTAATATTGAATACTCTCAACAAACTGCTCATGAACAATAGACAGACCCATTATTATTTATAGAACTTTATTTAGTGGATCATTTTGAATATTAAATGCATTTTTTTGAAAATTGGGCTCTGAGTGCAGATCATTTTCAAATAGGAAAAGAGACAAAATTCATTGAACAAATTATTCATTTACATATTAATCACCTCGATCAGTTATTTATCCAGCCATAAAATATTTCCTTTGCAATCCCATATTAACTATCCAGAGGCTACCTTCATAGGACCCAATTCTGATACTGTTACTCGTGTTAATTAATTGATTGCTTTGATTTCAATGGGGCTACTGGTGGAGTAAAAGCACTGATCAGAGGTAAGATGAAACAGAATCTGGCCCGTTGAACCATGCAGCTTGGAACTTGCAACATGCAACTTCCAGTCTAACCTCCCTCGCTCCCTTTTTAATTGCTTATAACTTGCTCAAACAAGTTGTTTTGCGGTTGAAATTTTCAACATTTGGTCTAAACCTAAAGGTGATTTTTGCTGTAATGTTGGAGGACTATCCGTTCAATTCTTTTTTGAGTTTTGTGATTATAAGAAAAATTCACTTTCCTATGTCAATGTCAACACAAATGATGGAAGAACAAAACTTCAGATTTATCTTGTTTGAAAGGCTTCACTGAAATGTAAAAAATCCAAGTTTGAAAATATCAGTTCAGGATTTTTAAAGTTATGAATCTTTAAAGCTGGCAGTTTTACACATGTGTAATAGAAGAATTTTTTGGACACATTTCCAAAGATAAGAGGGCAGAGAAACCTGAGCTCAGCTCTTGGAAACTCAGTCTAAGGGCAGCTGAGTTAAGAAAGCACTTAGCTTCCGAAGGCAAATAACTACAAATCTGTTATGCCAATGTTAATACCAACACCTTTGTTAGGTGGTGCTTCACCATACTACATTGCTGTGACTAAAGAGAAGCCAGGATATGGGAGCTCCTTTGGGGAATAAATATTTTCTGGATGGAGCACCCATACAAAAAAAGATGCCTAATACAGTCCTGCAATTCAACTTTAACTGCTCTGTTAATACAGAAAGAGATAGAAGAGAAGCCATGAGAAGAGAGTCTACAGAATGACTCTGAGATTATTGTAACTAGGAGATGCAAGCCTTCCACTGCAATCATATATTGAGTGGAGGGAGACATGATATTGATGTTTCCCATTTATTGTGCTCTTAGCTGTTTTCAAAAAGATTGACTTCAATTTTGGTTGCAAGTCTAGGTCTCTTATATTATCCAGACCATCTTACCCCACCCTGATATTCTGGATATTTTACTTTTAGCTGTGTCAAAAATATTATAGCTCTTTGTTTCTAACTCCTCACTGTCCCACTGACTTCCAAAGCCCCCAGACTTCCCACCCACCCACACACCTTCAAAGGTCATCAAAGGAAAATGTTAATACAGGTTGTGAAGTGGTTTGGAAAGAGTGGTGGTGAAATGCAAGCCTCAGGTAAAATGGTGAAGGCTGCAGGAGATATAGAGGTATCTTATGTATGAGTCCCTGCCCATCTTGTAATCCATCTGGCTCTCAGACAGTTCTTGATGAGTTCTCAGTTGGTTTGGCTCCTCTTTATATTACATAGAGGTGAATATTTGCTTCCTAAATCACTACTTTAATTTTTTGTTTGTTTCTGTGCAGGTCTGTGGGGGCTGGTCAACAATGCAGGGATTATGGGACCATCAGCGCCGACAGACTGGTTGAATATTGAGCACTTCAGAGCACCAATTGAAACTAATTTAATTGGCCTCATAAATGTTACATTACATTTGCTTCCCTTGGTAAAAAAGGCCAGAGGGAGACTAGTAAACATATCCAGCACTGGAGGTCGCCTGGCAGTCTGGGGGGGTGGCTATGTTCCTTCCAAGTTTGGGGTGGAAGGATTTAATGACAGTTTAAGGTACAGTAATGTTAATTTTGAGGAAATAATACATTTTTGATAATGCTGAGAGACTTGATAGTGAGTTAGTACCCAGCAGAGGGGTAACTAATGCTAGTTGGGGAATCTAAGAATTAAGAGGCCTTATTGGGTCTGATTCTCATTTACACAGAGTCTAGATGACTGCAGTATGCACTGCAATTGGCATAATTTAAAATGCAAGGTTACTTATAAAGTCCCAGAAGCGCTATCCTGAGGAAATACCTGCCAGATAGTCGTGTGTTATAGTTAAAGTTATCCTAACAAAGTTGGGCTGTAACTATTGCTTTTTCCTCAAGCCTCTTCAACTGAGTACATGGGCTTTTCTCAGCCTTTTAACCCTGATTTTTTTGCAGGTAGGAGTTTTTTTCCTGGGGGAGGGTGTTTTTTGTGATTGTTTTTTAAACAGCGCACAGCAAGATATTCCAGAATGCTTGGACTAAGAGCAGAACTTCATGTAATAGACAGGCAGTCTTATGGATGGGTGAACCAACTCAGATAAAAAAAGCAATGACCCATATTTTAGTTTAAAACTACAACAAAAGGCAACTTTTGAAGTTTAAAGTGTGTGTGTATGTGTATATATATATATATAGTCTTGTATGTACAGCCCCCTTTGTGTATCATTGCAAAGGACATCAAATAAATAAAAACAGTGGCTGCTTCCCTGAGCTGTCTACACACTGGCTCACCACTAGATAACACTTACTTACAGTTTGATCTTGGCCTTACCAATACGCACAATGAGCTACAGAGATAGGAAGAGAAAATTAGTGCAGATATAAATACATCAGCTATTAACAATGCTGTCTAAAATAGCAATGACATCATTAACTTGCTGTTTCTGCAGACGGGACATGAAAGCTTTTGGAGTTAAGGTTTCTTGCATTGAACCTGGGCTGTTCAAAACTGGACTATCCAATCGAAAAAAGGTCATCGAAGAAAGGGAGGCCATTTGGAATCAACTTCCTCCTGCCATTAGAAAACAATATGGAGAGGGGTATGTACAGAAAGGTGAGACATTACTTGATTAGTTTGTATTGAAGGGACCATGGCATTTGCAGCTTCAGGATCCTTGGAAAATGGCCCAGACTTTTCTGATTTACAGTGAACCTCTTTCTTCTGAAATTGGATGTAAAAATGGAAGCTTAAAATGCTAGACGTCATAAAATGACTATGCACAAAATAATAATTATTTTGTTCCTTCTGCCCCTTCCGATTTATCTGAGTTTTGAATAGTCAGCTTGGCATGTGACCCTTAAACAAACAAATATGCATATGCACATACCTTTGACCCAAAGATGCAAGCAGAAAACAATGAGAGGGTAGGAGAGAGATGTGTGTCTTCCCCACTACTACCAGTTTTCGGCAATTCAAGGACAAACCTTCTTTGCTCCTATTAGATACTATGGTGATGGAACCCATGGAAAAAACCTAAGGCCACATTCTGGCAATAGGCTCTGCATAGACAGATCCCTGCACCTGCAGAAAGATCACTGCAGGATCAGCTCCTCTGACAGAGAGATTATTGCTGAATCCAGCTTGAAATGGGATCTGCTTATCCGATAACCCTTGGAAATTCCCTATACCCTCCTCCCCTAGTGTCTTTCTCCACAGCTGCCTTTTGTATCTTCTCCCATCCCAATGAGCCAGATTCACTGCTGGCATCAGCAGGTAGACTCCACTGAAGTCAATGAAGTTGCACCCATTTACACCAGCACTGAACCTGGCACCAGAAATGTCTATGTCCCCTTCAATTCTACTTCTGTCTCTTCCTTCTTCTGAGCAAATGACTGACTGACTTTCCACAGACGTCATGAGCCAGGCTTTGCCACCCTTGCTCAGTTTAAGTAGTACCCCACTCCACAAGTGAAATCAATAGGAATATTCAGGGAGCAAATTACTACTTAGCTTGAGTAAAAATGACCAGACTTGGCCCTTAATATGGACCGCTTTTCCTCCTTGTCTTGGGGAGAACAGCAACTGCCATTTGGCTCTGCCATGCCAGAACTGAAAATCAAAGTAACCATCACAAATGCACGCTGAGGAAATGGGATAGAATTAGCTGTCCTTTCCTTTAGGTCCTGCCACTGAAGTGAAGTCCTCCTTGATTTTTGCAGATGCAGCAAGGAAAGAAAAACTGGTTCAGAGGCTTCAGAACACAAACCTCTCACTGGTTGTGCAATGTATGGAGCATGCGCTAACGAGCATTAATCCTCGCTCACGTTACTCCACGGGCTGGGATGCGAAGCTTCTTTGGATCCCCCTTTCCAGCATGCCTGCAGCACTACAGGACTTTGTACTCCTGAGAAACAAAGCAGAGCTTGCTGACCCAACTGCGGGGTGAATTCTCCTCCTTTATTTACACTTTCCCATTGAACGGGGGGGGGGGGCCCTGCTCTCTGAGTCAATGAGAACCGGCCCGTTCTTTTAGCCCTCTGCCTGCTGATCCAAACTGAGCCCGACACCTATTTTTTTTATATTTCGAAAGGCTTTTAGAGTGCCTGTTTCTCAAATCTGTGATACATATTGTAGCCAGATTTTTAATCTTATGTATAAGCCAGGCCACATTTATCAAAGAATCAATAAAAAAGGAAATGTTGCAAAGAAGTGACCAATCCTTCATGTGTCATCCAGCTTTAAGCGCATAAAGTGTTATAAAGTGGGCCAAAAATCACCAGCTACAAACCTTACAATATTTCGTGTTGGATTTTTCTTTAGTCTGAAAAATATGAATTAGAGAGGTCAAAATGACCAGTGATTTCGGGGGCTTACCTTGTGAAACCTAAAAGATGCCAGGTTTGCAGTCCATGCTGAGCACCCACACTCAGATTGGGCACTTAGCAACTTTTGAAAAATGTAGGCCTCAGTCTTTAGATTAAATTATTTCCAGTCAAAGAGACAATAACCCTGGTTTTGCTAAGTGCTGAGTGACTCCTGCAAGGGGGCTTTAACTTGTGTTAAAGTACAAGGGAAATGAGGGCACATAGTACATGACAGGAGGAGCTCAGTATTTTTCAGGATTGGGCTCCTTTTGGATTAGACATGACCAGAGTGCTCCAGAACGGCACAAAATTCACCTCAAATCATAACTGTTTAGTGGTTTGCCCAGGAAGTGGTTTTCCACTGGGCAGAAAACTGGCCAATGGCAAAGCCAAATGCTTTCTTTGGTCTGATGAGTTTGTTGTGACATGACTTGACTAAACATTAAGCCACCCCGTGCCTGTCTAAACATTGCAGTTTTCAATTTAACTTCTCTGGGGCTTGCAAGGTATCACTCTGCTTTCTGACTGCAGCTTGTATTTAGTCATCAGTGTGTTGAGTTAATTTATATTTTGCATGAACAGAATTGTGTAGGGGTTATTTCCTATTAGAACAAATTTGAGGTGTGCTGTACATATGCCTGTGGCTTAGCTATTCTTACTGCAGTGAGTATTAGTGGGCCTGCTAGTGTAGATTTCTTTTAAAAATGTTTGTACTCATGAAGGCAAAGGGACAGAGTGGTGGGAAAGCAAACTCTTTTTCTTTAAATCATAGGCCAGATAGCTGCGGTGTGAGCATCCACATGTTGCCACCCCACTAATCTTAGCCTGGGCCTGGAAGAGCTGCTGGTTTTTTAAGCTAGAGGTCAGTCGGTTCTTATGTTAGCCGAGTCTTTGGCTTCTACAGAACTGAGATCACCAGACTGCGCTCATGTGCCACTTGTCCTCAGAACTGAACTGGAAAGTATTTTATTCACTGAGGGCAGATCAACACTACCACTTAAGTTGATATAACTTATGTCACTCAGGGATGTGAAAAAGCCACCCCCCTTGAGCGACACAAGTTACCGTGACCTAAGCACAGTCCACACTGGCACTATGTTGGCAGGAGACACTCTCCCACCAACATAGCTTCTGCCTCTTGCAGAGGTGAAGTAATTATGCCAACGGAAGAGAGCTCTCCCATCAGCACAGAGCGTCTTCACCAGACGCGCTACAGTAATGCAGCTGTGCAAGTGTAGCACGTCTAGCCCTGAGCAAACCAGACCCAGGCTGTTGGAGTGATTAAGGAAGCAAAGAAAATGAGTTGTATCTAACCAATAGAAATTATCCTGAATACATCAATGCCGCTTATTGTCCTACTCTGATCTTCATTATTTATATAGCCAACTACACCTGAGTGTGCATCAGTTCCTTCAGAAGCTCATTCATACTGTCACCTGCTGTGATATCACAGATCTATGAAATCTGACAGTGAAAGTGAAGAATAAACAGAGTTTTGGGAGTGGGTAAGATGATCCTAAATGTAACCATTGTAACCAAACTCCTCATTTACTCCACTGTCAATGAGAACAGTATTTGGCCAGTGACCTACCGGAAATGAGCGAGTCACACTTCCTTTCTCTGCTGAGGTAAAAGTAATTAATAAAAAAGCGGAAATTATTCTATTTTTATGGAAGTAAAACATAGTTTCAGTTTCTGATTAAGCAACTGTATTCCCTGAAATGTTAATGGAATTGCCTGTATATAATAGCAGAACTTTTCCCAGTGACATCATGACTTTTCCTATTACTCTTTTTGATCTCATGTAGCTTTATGCAAAACTGGTCTCCAACTCTATTCTAATCCAATTACCAGAATCATTTTTAACAGTCTGTTCTTTAGCTTGAGACAGAAAAACAACTGGAAAGAGTAATCTACGGCCCATATTCTGGACCAATATCTAGCAGCCACTTGTAATAGTAAACGATTCAGAGAATACTCCATTTAAAATTGCACTTTAATCAATGTTTTTTTGTCTCAAAAACCTCTTCTGCTACCTCCTTCCTTTAATACAATGTTTACTAAGTCTAATGAATTGATTTGTTTGGTTATTATGTAATATTAGTCAGTGGCCCTTCCTCCTTGTAAAATTTATTTCTGGGATATGCATGAATAATTTGAATGCAGCTAAGTAGTTCTTTCTAGGGCTGACCTTCAGGCCACTACCTTATGCAATACCTAAATTATTAAACATTAAATTATCTGTTTACCTAGTTGCATATTAGCTTAAATTGCTGGGGTATTTGAACCCCTCTAAAGGCATTTTGCACACCAGAGCCTGTGTTAAGGATGTTACCATTCCCCATTGATTCTTAATTCTGCATAGTATTATTAAAATACTTACTGGTACTCAGCTAGTTAAACTGTACACATATAATGTTGCATCATGTTGTGGAAATAACTTTTAAACCAGAGTCTTCCATTCTAACAGTTGGACTACTCCGTTAGAATATTTCATTGAAGAGAAAAAAACCCCATCATTCTTAGGGTTAACCTGTGGCTGACTCTGTGATAAAAAGATGTACAGAAAGGGCACTGTCCTTCCACCTACACCCCCCTTCCTTCAAACACACTTCCTCCAAAAAGGAAAATGGATGAAAGAGAGAATTCAGAAACATGGGACCAACAGAACACAAGCTAAAGTAAGCTGCTTATTGAGGGTCAGACTGTGACATCATTACTCCCACTGAGTAGTCACTGGCAGCTTGACTACACAGGAGGGTAATGCACCTTATGGGGGTGTGATTTCCAAAGCACGCTAATACGTTGCGCTTTAATCGGTCCATGTAAACCCCAGTGATGTACACGAAAGGTTCCCAAGTGCACTTTAACATAATGCTGTTTCAAACGGCAGTACGTTGTAGTACGCTAGGGAATCTTTAGTGCACACCAGCAGGACCCATTACTCTTTAAGGAGTCCCACTGACGGCTCAAAGACTAAAGCACTGTTTGACATGAGTGAGGGTGTCACAGTCTAACCCTTTGTGTTTTCTTGCATCTTAGCCCCCCACATGTTCATCATTCCCTTTCTCCACTTTCACTCTACTTAGGACTCAGCCTTTTTCCCCTGAAAGTCAGACTCCTCCCATATAGGCCACTCACCAAAAATCTGAAACACTAGGTGTGCCATTCTTGTTTAAAATAAGCCTCCCTGTATACTTAAATGGAAAGTGCCTCTCCTAGCGGCTGTGATTTACAGCCGCAGAACATTTGCATCAGACACAAATAAATGTATTTCCTTTGTTGTGGACCTAATTAAGAAATGTGATTCTATACAGATGCCCTTTGAATATTTACAGTCCAGAAAGAGCTACACAGCACAGTATTGGTATGTCTACACTGCAATAAAATGCCCATGTCTGGCTGCGAGGCTATAAAATTGCAGGGTAGATGTCTGGGCTCAGGTTGGAGCCAGGGCTCTGGGACCTAAAGGCTCCAGCCTGACCCCAGACATCTACACTGAAATTTTATAGCCTGGCAGCCCAATCCCCATGAGCCCAAGTCAACTCTCATGGGCCAGACATGGGTGTTTTATTGCTATGTAGATATACCTTTATGTTCCTACAACTTCTCCCACCTCTCAGAAGAGAAAGTTTAGCAACGTTTGGCCAGTCCTCAGTGAGTGGATACATTCTGCTTCCCTGATCATAAAACACTACAAACATGAACGGTCTGTTACTCACTCAGGGGCTGAAAATGGGAATGAGAAATATTAACCTTGATCAGTGACAAGGATACTGGCAACCTGCAGGGCAATTTGGTCTCCTCTCTGAGTTTTTTTTGGGGGGGGGTCTGTGATTTAATCTTCTGCTGGTTTTGATCCTAGGAATTTGGGGACTCTCATTCTGTAATCAGATTTAATTGGTACTTCTTAGCCTCACGTTTTGACCGGCACCCAAGATGTGACTAATCTTTCACTAGTCATGTGGGGCTCTCTGCTAGGACATCTGCTGGTGCTACCTACCCCAACGGGAGTAGGAAGGTGTGGAGTGAAAGTGAGACCCAGGCCTCCTTCAACATTAACCTCCACACCCATGCTAAAAATGTACCATTCATTCCTCTTTTCCCTTCTCCCGACAGTACCTAATCCATGACAGACCTTTACCTCTCACAGAGTAACTATTTAGTGTCATTTCCTCAATAGCCTCTTGTGAGGGACTTTAACGAAGTCATTTTGAAAGTCCAGATCAATTGTGTTGACCAGTTCTCCTTTATGCACTATTTAGTTGACTCCGCCAAAGAATTCTAGTAGACTAGAAAGACAATTTTCCTTCCCATATCATATCAGTTTGTAATTATTTTTTAGCTTATTAACCTGACACTGAAGTACGACTCACTGATCTGTTATTCCCACAATCACCACCTTTTTCACATTGACTACTTTTCAGTCATCTGATTTAGTGACTGATTTTAATGAACTTGAAGGTACTTTAATAATATTTTGTACTCCTATAACATCTTTCAAGCTACATCTCTCAAAGTGCTTTATAAACCTAGATTAATTAAGACCATAAAACCCCTTCAGGCAGGTAAATCCTTAAATGTCCATTTTACAGATCAGAAATCTGAGGCACAGAGAGATGACAGAACTTGCTCAGGTCATACCTCAAATAAAAGTAGCTCAGGGGTAGGGTTGCCAATTGTGGTTAGATGTTTTCCTGGAGATTTCATCATGTGATAATCTTTAATTCCTGGAGACTCCAGGTCAATCCTGGAGGGTTGGCAATCCTATTCAGGGGTCCTGACTCCCACTTCCCTATTCTAGCCAACATACCACACTCCCTGTCATTATAACCATGGTGTACGAAACATACACCTTAAAAATGTTCTTGTGTCTAGCATGAAGAATGTTGGATTCTTCTTTGCGCCTGGGGATTTGTACATCTCATTTCCTTTCCCAAAGCCAGCCTTCAAGCACTGTCATTTTTCCATGTATTTTCTCAGACCTAGAGATTCGATTACGAAATAAGCCTATGGAAGTGATGAGAAATGCCAGCTTTCAAGTACGGCGTTCTGTAGATGACAAGCTGTCTTGGGCCAGGCTTTACACTCTCTCAGAATGTCACAGCCCGAGCTCACATTTTGCCTAAGTAATTTCCATTCTGTTGTGTTCTCTCATATCTTGTGTTCTGAGAGTGCTCAGGAGACTGACAAATTATCTCTGTCACAGGTGAACAAGCTACCTGGGTGGAAGAGTGCCATTTAGTCACTGGTTTGGGGAAGATAGCAGGACCTTTAAACCCCTCCAAAAAGTTTTCACACAGTTCAGAACCCAGGATTCTCAGCATAAACAGGGAGTACTGAGTCTCCCTTTAGATTTTTTTTCTACTACACCTGTTTTCAGTCAGGGAAGGCCTGTGACATCTCAAAATAGGGATGCAACCTGACAGCAAAAAGACCTAGAGGAATGCTCCTCCAGGAATAGCCTGGGACTTCTGATGGAGAATAGTGCAGTGGGGGGTCATTTTAACTATGCTTTGCATTATATGCTGAATATCCTGACAATGTTAAATCATATGTGACAGACATTTTGAATCTTTGGGCAGGTCCAGACTGCCAGGCATGTACTGGGGAGCCGTACATCAGTCGCCTTTATAGAGAGAGAGAGGTGGAGTCAGAAAGAAGCAGCAGGAGAGACAGACTATGACAAAGAGAAGAAGAAAAGGTACAATTGGAGAAAGAAATAAAAAGGGAGGAACGTCAATGAGGATTGTCCTGCAAAACAAGTGCAAATATCTCCTTTCCATCTACACCTAAAACAAAAACCATTAAAATAGCAACTCACATGAGTAAGGGCTCAGCATTGTAAGGGCTGCACAAACTAGCTCCTAATTATTTTAAATAAAAGTTTAAATTCAGTGAGATTCAGTGTAATTCCCACCTCGGGGAAAAAAATCCACCTCCACAATGCTGCATGCTAATACAGGATTTAAAATATAAATAAATAAATAAAATAAAGCATTGACCCAAGTCTCCAGGGAAAGTCACAAATCCACATAGTGTCATGAATGGTGCAGTTTGATTCAGGAGTTCTAATTTAGATAAAAGAAACGTATATGGTCATAGAGCCAGAGAGGTCTCTATTGGCTACGTCACATAGCAGGCATAGGAGGAGTAGGCATTTTCCTTTCCAGTTTAAATTTTCACTCAGTTAGGTTCAGAGCACTTTTCACAAGCAGTTATGCATTCATTTCAAAAGCCAGAGTTGTCCAGCCTATCTTGCCTGGGGCAGCTCTGCCTGTATGAGGGTAGAGAATACGTAGGTCTGAGGGTAAAAGAGGGAAGGACAACAAGGTACAGGTAGAAAACTCTTTTGCATCCAAATCCAAAATGTAGCGCACAAGGTTTTGTGGCACCCAGGCGGGCAGCGGGCAGCTTTGGGCCAGCTTATAACAGTTTGTTCTCTGTTGTACATCTGCATGGACGCTTTTCCCAGATGGGGGCTTGTAGCCCTCACGGATTCTAAGCTTTTTATTTAAAAAAAAAATTTGCTGTCGGCTCCTCAGAGACAGCGTTTATTCTAGGGATCAGAAATAGGCACTGTAGATCAGAAAAAAGAAATTGGCCCTAACCACGATCAAACACAAGAGTTTATTTTCCTCACCTTTTCTGTGCCCACAACTCCAATCAATGCAAACAGAAATTGTGCACATGTATAGGGGGAAAAAAACAAGATTAATTCCCAGAGGGCTTGATCCAACTCCTGTTAAAGTCAATGGAGGAACTGAAATCAATGGGAGTTGGATCGGGCCTCTAATGGGATAAATTCTATCTCCCTAATGAGTCTTGATAATCTCTGTGCTTTGGGAATTACTGTATTTAGGCCAGCAAAGCTTAGACAACCGAGGTGGGTTACACAGGCATTTAGACTACACATAAGATTAATTCCTGGTAAGAGACTAAAATAGTCATCGGAATGTAAGTCATAATCAACAGCAGGGAGTTGTACCGGGCTTGTCGGCTATTGTACAGTGATCTCACCGTGCCACAGAGTACAGAATCTATGTTGAGACTTTCAGCAAGGTATCACTGTGCAGATCCTACTGAAAAACCTTGTGAATTAAAATTTGCAACAACTTCTTTGCTCCAGCACTAGCTGTAATTGGCAAAGACTCTGTTCTCTTGGAATCGTATAATGAGCTTGCAGATGACTCCCCAGAATGTAAGTACCAGCATCAGAACAAAACCAATGTGTAAAACTACAGGCTATATGAGTTTGCAGAGTAGTAATAGAACAAATTACAGTGGGAAAGAGGTGACAAAGTGACACTCAGATTTAAGTCGCTACTTTTCCAGAATGATTTCTAGAGATTGTTATATAACAAACCAGCTATGGGTTCTGGATAAAACACTTTACTGACAGACGTTATTGACTTGAGTCCTACAGACTAGAATCATTTTGTGCTTCACACAGTGTCTTGCTGGCTATTGCAGTTAGTGCAATAAAAGATAGGTTTTTTTCTATGGCTTTTAGAAAATGATGTGATTACTCCAATGGTCTGATAGGAATATGAACATGAGTAAGGATTACAGGGACCAGGCCTAATATTTCAGCATCTCCTCCTTGTTTTAATGTTCATTTATTCAAACAGTTGATTATTGTGTGATATTTTGGCTGTCTAAATGAATTTTAAAAAACAAAAGAATTCTGAATTCTAGGAAAACATAAAAATTGGAAAGGTTGGGGGGTCATTTAACTACTTCAAGGATTTAAAAATGATCAAACACATTTCTCTAAAATGTAATTATTTTTAAAAATGCTATGAAAAACTAACAGTAAAGGCTCAGATGTTCAATCTGGGTTCCTAAAGTTAGGCAACTAATTATTTAGTTTAGGCACCTAAGTAAAAGTAGACTTCAAAGGTGCTGAGCAGCCCCATATCCCATCAAAATCACTGAGAGCTGCAGGTGCTCTGCACTTTTGAAAAACAGACCTTTTCTGTTTAGGTGTCTACAACTGGATTTGGGTATCTAGCTTTAGGTGTGCAAGTTTGAAAACACAGTCTCCTTGTCCCACAGCTTCAGTTTAATTCTTGCACCAACCCAAAGTGCAAATGCATCCAAAGCCAGCCCATGACAATGAAGAAGCATGTGAGAGTGTGGACTGTCCCCATGAATGAGAATGTTGTTGTATATTTAAATATACAACAATAATCATGGTGGCAACTCGTATTGAACAACGTTTTTGAAGTCCACTTTCTCACAGTAAAGTCAGGCTGATCAGTGCTCCCATCAGCACTTGCCTGCTATAAGTATTTCCATTCATTTTACCACTTATTTAGTGAGAGGGAGATAGCAAGAGAGAGAACAGATTCAGATCCTGCTCTGAAGTGCTGCCTTGCTCAAAGACCAGAGGTTAAAGAAAGCAGATTGTGAGCACCAGCATTTTTGACATTTACAAAGCACACACCAAAGGAGTCAGTGCACTCACCCAGTCTAGCCCAGACTATTCTGTTCTTGCCCAGAGCTCACACAGTCTCTGTGCTATGAAGCGAAGAAGCACTGTGAGTGGCAAGAAGCAGATGATCATACCAAATTGCACTCCTTTGTAGCAGAATTCTTCTCTCTCCAGCAGTACCCTCAATAATCAGAAGCGTTCACAACAGGAGGCATTGCTGCTAGTGAGGGACATGCTTCCTTTCATCCTAAAACATTCTCCAACCACCTTGCAGACGAGGGAGAAGGGCAAGTGAAGCTGCATCTTGAAAACAATGGAAATGTATTGACAAGGAGGTTTAGAGAAAGGCTCTGCCAACACATATATTATTCATGGACACCATTCAAACTGTACCCAAACATCTAAGCTTGTGCCCCATTTTTCTCACAATAAGACAGAAAAAGCTGGAACTAGACACAAAGCCTTTTATAGGAGCTGTGTTGAACTTGGAGATAGATATAGTAATTTACTCCATTAAGTTTCCAGATCTCTAACATTATTTGTTTATAGGCCTTGCTTTCAAACTCAGCGCAGATAGGAATTTTGGCTTCCATACTTCTCCTCATTATTTGCTGGCTCATCCGAGACAGTCTTAAAGTGAAAGACCTGAATGGAAAGCACGTCTTCATAACTGGATGTGACAGTGGATTTGGAAACTTGCTGGCTAAACAGCTTGACCGAAGGGGATTCCATGTCATTGCTGCGTGTCTAACAGAAAATGGAAGCCGAGAACTACTAGCCTGCACATCCATCTCACTGAAGACTGTGATACTAAACTTAACTGACTCCAGCAGCATTGACAATGCAGTGGAGTTTGTGAAACAAGAGACAGATGGGGAGGGTAAGTGGTATAGCCGCAGTCCATACAAATTACTAAACATACTCCAGTATAAAACAGAAGAGTTCTGGTCGTAACCTTCCATAATAACCGCACAGGAGCATTTCTTGTGCTGATTAAAGCTGTACTTTCTTCAGTGCTATGGTTCTATCTAGTTAGGTATTTATTAGCACCAACCACCATAGTTCCAAGACTGTTTTATGTTCCAAAAGCCAGTTTCAACTGTTGCCATTGTGTTTGCTCCTCACTTTTATCAATCAGGGGACTTCTAAGTATCAGAGTCCTTGATATTTTAACAGTCAGAAAATATACTTGTACACGTTCTTAAGTCTCACTCAGCTGCAGGTAGAGTACTCAGCTTGAGGGAGTGCTAATTGGAACTAATCAGAACTTCATTGACCTACCTAAGCAATCAATCAACCTGGCCAATTAAAAATACCTAGTCGAGTTCATGCTCTCCTCCTTTGGGAAAGCAAAGGGTTAGTTTTTTCTCTGTCAACAAGTCTGATTTTTGTAATGCACATAATGATGACACTGACTGTAGCAATCAAACAGGGGCACTGTCCAAATCCATCATTCCCTTTGGATCGTTACTGCAGTGGTGTTTCCTTGTACCAGAGAGAGCTACTGCTGTGCGTGCCAGTGAGTTTAATGATGTGAAAGAGGGAAGAACGTGGGTCTCTGAATACCTGTGAACAGAGAGTTTAGATCATTACTTGGCTTCTGCTTTTGGCAGAAAATGTTAAAAACGCTGTCTTGGTTCCTAACCCAATGAATTTTTCTGCTCTGGCAAGACTCATCTCGCCAGGGACTTTTCTGAACTCCTCTCCACCTACCATATATGACAAGCACTGTGGTGTCAGGCTAGTCTATAAGGGACAGGCAACCGCAGCTAACACTCACTGTAATCCTCATTCTAACCATATAATTAAAGAGGCCAAGCACTGACTCAGAAGGGAGTCTACACTATCCTCTCTCTCTAGAAATAGGCCGTCCTGAGCAGGGTGCTGTAGGCATATTAATAACATGGCACTTACACAGAACTATTTATCCCTAGAGCCCAAAGTATGTTACAAAGGTGGAGACACATTATTATCTCTGTTTTACAGATGGGGTAATGGAGGCACAGAGAGCTCCAGGCCCACTTAGCATATGTCTACACCACAGTCAGGAGCAAGGCTCTAAGCCCAGCTAGGCGAACTCATGATAAAGAGGCTCACTCTAGCATACAAAAGCAGCTGTCAGAGGAACAGCCGTGTTAGTCTGTATTCGCAAAAAGAAAAGGAGTACTTGTGGCACCTTAGAGACTAACCAATTTATTTGAGCATGAGCTTTCGTGAGCTACAGCTCACTTCATCAGATGTATACCGTGGAAACTGCAGCAGACTTTATATACACACAGAGAATATGAAACAATACCTCCTCCCACCCCACTGTCCTGCTGGTAATAGCTTATCTAAAGTGATCAACAGGTGGGCCATTTCCAGCACAAATCCAGGTTTTCTCACCCTCCACCCCCCCACACAAATTCACTCTCCTGCTGGTGCTAGCCCATCCAAAGTGACAACTCTTTACATAAAAAGAAAAGGAGTACTTGTGGCACCTTAGAGACTAAATTAGTTAGTCTCTAAGGTGCCACAAGTACTCCTTTTCTTTTTATGTAAAGAGTTGTCACTTTGGATGGGCTAGCACCAGCAGGAGAGTGAATTTGTGTGGGGGGGGTGGAGGGTGAGAAAACCTGGATTTGTGCTGGAAATGGCCCACCTGTTGATCACTTTAGATAAGCTATTACCAGCAGGACAGTGGGGTGGGAGGAGGTATTGTTTCATATTCTCTGTGTGTATATAAAGTCTGCTGCAGTTTCCACGGTATACATCTGATGAAGTGAGCTGTAGCTCACGAAAGCTCATGCTCAAATAAATTGGTTAGTCTCTAAGGTGCCACAAGTACTCCTTTTCTAAAAGCAGCTGTGTGCATGTTGCAGAACCAGTGGTGGCATGGGCTAGCTCTCCCAGTGCTGCAATGTCACACACCTATTTTTAGCATGCTAAGCAAGTCCCACTCGCGCTAGTCTGTCTCCGTGGGCTGGAAGGCTCACCCCCACCTGCAGGGTAGACATACCCTTTGGGTCTAGTACTGAGAAGGCCTGGGAAGCCATGGTTCCAACTGAAATAATTTCTCCATTAATATTTACCCAGTTCTAATTTAGAACCATTGACTAAAGCATCAGGAAGGGGAAAAAAGGTTGCCAGATGTACAGTATAAATTCAGAAAGTCATGAGGAAACCCAGTCAGCTACATTCATCTCGTTAAATGGTGTGCAAAATGTGAACTCTCGCGGTCCATTGCCATATGTCCTGTCTCCAACCCCACTCACTGCTGTGATATTGGCACATACCGAACGTGATATTTTTGGAATACTCTTAGGCCTCTTTGGTTTGGTAAATAATGCTGGAAGAGCAACGCCGATGGCGCCTACCGACTGGATGCAGATAGATGATTTCCACACAATTATGGATGTTAATCTGATGGGGTTGATTGAAATCACCCTGAAGCTTCTCCCGCTTTTGAAGAAGGCTAAAGGAAGAGTAGTCAACATTGCCAGTGTTTTGGGTCGCTTGGCGTTTTTAGGTGGTGGCTACTGTTTGTCAAAGTGGGGCGTGGAAGCTTTCTCGGACATTTTACGGTGAGTCAGAGATGGATTTGTGATGCTAGTTCTGGATTTCAAATGCTCTACAGTTTGTAGCTCTTTGAATCTGAGGCTGTGGCTGAGTTCATAAAAGGTTAGAAACCAGATGTGAAATTCTGATCCTTAGCAGAGTTTGGGTTGTTCCCTTCAGCAGAGGGTTAGTTTGGAGCTTTCTCTAATTTTATCCCATTTTTAACAGCATAAACCTTCCTGTACAAAGTCCTAGAAATGCAGCTTTGACTCAGCTAACAAGGTGAAAACCCAGCAGAGTTAACATCTGAGATGTCTTGCTCTGTGTAGTCACTTTATCCCTATGTCTGAGGCTGCCTTCACCAGGGGGCACCCTCTTGTGACTGTGTGGGTGCTACTCTGAGTTTGATCCAGTTTGTCCCCTTCACACAGTCAATACTGATTTCTTGTTATGACCCCAGTCCTCCAGCCAGGCCCTTATTAGTCACTACCCTTTAGGGGTAATAAAGGGTGAGGAGGAGTCCAGTGGCTCTAGTGAAGGGTAGACAGTTCTAGGCCATGCAGGCCTAGTGTCTTTTCTTGCTCCAAAGTCTTTACCATGCCTTGTGTTGGAGGGTGGTAGGGGAACCCAAGCCCACAGACTCCACTGGGTTACAGCTCAGGGACACTGTCTGAAGTAGCTTGAACCAGTTCCTCCCAGACCCTTGCTGCTCTCTGAGCTGATTCCTACCTCGCCTCCTTGCTAGGCTTTCCCCAGTGCTCTTGTTCTGGTTCTCCCTCTCAGGAAGTCTGATTTCCCTTGCAGCTGCTCGCCAGTCTGTGGAAGGGGTCTCCTCTCTGGAGTTCCTCTGGCAGCCGACCTGCCCTCCTGTCCTGCAGCCCTTTTATCTTTAGAGCTGTTGTGAGGCTACCAATCAGCCCCATCTGAGCAGGCAGACAATTTAACTAATAATTTCCCATGTGGAACTATATCAAATGCCTCACTGAAATGCAGGTGGAGTAGATCTACTGCATTTCCTTTGTCTAACAAATCAGTTCTCTTCTCAAAGAAGGAGATCAGATTGGTCTGGCACAATCTACCTTTTGTAAACCCATGTTGTATTTTACCCAGTTACCATTTATCTCTATGTCCTTAACTACTTTCTCTTTCCAAATTTGTTCCAAGACTTTGCATACAATTGAGGTCAAACTAACAGACCTGTAGTTTCCTGGATCACTTTATTGCCCTCTCTTAAAAATAGGAACTATATGAGAACTATATTCTTCTGACATAGGTACAACCCCCGAGTTTACAGACTCATTAAAACATTTTGCTATTGGCCTTGCAATTTCATGTGCCAGTTCCTTTAATATTCTTGGATGGAGATTATTCGGGGGGCCCCGATTTAGTCCCATTAAGATGTTTGAGTTTGACTTCCATCTCCGATGTGGTAATTTCTACCTCCACATCCTCATTCCTATTAGTCACCCTGCCACTATCTCTCTAAGATCATCATTAGCCTTATTGAAAACAGAGGCAAAGTATTTATTTAGCTGCTGCGCTATGTCTATATTATCCTTAATCTCCCCCCATTCCCACTGGTTAGTGGTCCCACTTCTTTCCTTGTTTTCTTTTTATTTATATGACTGGTTTCAATTCCCTTTGAAAGTCCAACTCTGCTTGGGTTTTGGCAGTTCTCACTTTATCCTTACACTGTCTGACCTCCAAGAGGTAGCTTTCCTTCCTAATCCATCCCATCTTCCATTCCTTTTAGGCTTTCTGCTTTCTCTTAATCACCTGTTTGAGATGCTTGTTCATCCAGATTGATCTGCAGCCCTTCCCTACAAATTCTTTCCCCTTGCTTGACATGCAGGCTTCAGATAGCTCCTGGAACTTTGACTTAAAGGAATTACAGGCCTCCTCCACGTTCAGATCTTTGAGTTCTTTGGTCCAGTCCACTTCTATAACTAATTCCCTTAATTTTTTAAAGTTTGCCTGGTTGAAATCCAGGACCCTAGTTGCAAATCTATTTTTGTTTATCCTTCAATTTAATTTAAACTGAATAGGCTCATGATCATTCAAACCAAGATTGATCTCTGCAACCAGTTCTTCTATGAGGTCGTCACTACACACCAATACCAAATCTAAAATGACATCCCCGCTTGTTGGTCTGGCGATTATTTGGTGAAGAAATCTGTCAGCCATCACATCCAGGAAAATGTCAGCCCTACTATTGTTACTAATGCTTGTCCTACGATCTATAGCTGAGAAGTTAATGTTTCCAATAATCACTCAGTTCCCAACAGTATTTATTTCATTAAAAACATTACAGAGGTCTCTATCCATGTCCAAATTGGATCCTGGAGGTCTGTAGCTTGCCCCAAGCACTAGCCCAGGGGAACCTCTAGTAGCTTTCTTCCCCAAAGTGATTTTGCCCCAACAGATTCTGTCTTATACATTCCATCACTTCTAATTTCTTTACAGTCTACCCCATCATTAATATACAATGCTACTCCACCACCTTTGCCTTTATTTCTGTCTTTCCTGAACAGCACAAACCTTTCAATACTCCAGTCACGCTTACTATTCCACCATGTTTCTGTTATCCCTATAATATCCGGTTTTACTTCCTGCACTGGTAGTTATAATGCCTCCATTTTGTTACTCAAGCTCCTTGCATTGGTGTACAAAACGTCTTAACTGTTGCTGCTTGGCTTCTCCCACATTCCTTGCCCAATTGGGTACAGTCATTCTACTACCAGTATTGCCTATCTAACTCGTATCAGCACTATCCTTCCTCCTAATGTCCATTCTCCTACCCAGTGCTGTTCCTTTCTCCATTTTCTGTATCATTTCTTACTTGATTTTCCTCCTTCTCAGTGCTAAAATCAGGCCTGGAGATTACATGAGCATCTCCCAACTGTCCCTCCCCCTCCACCGAGCTTCTAGTTTAAAGCTCTTTTAATGAGTTGTGCCAACCTCCATCCCAGAAGTCTATTTCCTTCCCTATTCAGGAGGAATCCATTCCACAAGAACACTCCTCTGTCCATGAATGACTCCCAGTGGTCAAACATCCCAAAGCCCTCCTTATAGCATGACTGTCTGAGCCATCTGTTGATCATCATGATCTTGTCTCTCCTTCATTCTCTCCCTCTAGGGACAGATAGAATCCCACTGAAGGTCATTTGAGCCTCCATTTCCTTTAGGGTCTTCCCTAGCCTGGCATAGTCTCCTTTGATATATTCCAACAAGAATCTAGCTGTATCACTTGTTCTCACATGAAGGACAATCAGTGGATTCTTTTCTGCTCCCATTAGGATCCTCTTCAACCTCAGATCCACATCCTGCATCTTAGCTCCTGGCAGACAGCACACCCTCCTGTTCTCTGGATCAGCTCTGGTGACAGGACTATCTGTTCTTCTTAGTAGGGAGTCCCCAGTCGCATAGACCGGCCTTTTCCTGGTGATGGTGTGAGTCTCCTCTGGCCTTATTCCGGTTCTTTCTGGCTGCAAGTCCTCTTGTCTTTTATTCTCCCTGGCAATCTTCTACAAGTCCTCCTGAATCCCCCTGGGGCACTGAACTCTGTGTATCTCCATTGACTCTTCCCCTCTTCTTACAGGACTAGTTGCTCTTCTCTTCTTCCTTGCCCTCCCACCTTCAGTTACTGCCTGCTGTCCCCTTTTTTCATTCTCCAGCTCTGCTTCTGAGCTCTATTGCTCCTCTGCTAGCTGGTCTTTTCCTCTGCCTGGTTCTTGTAATCACATGCTTCCACGGCCTAAACTTCCTTGTTGCCCCTTGTATCCTTGACCTCTGCTGTCTTTACTATCCCATAATAATCTAAGCACTGGTGATGCTGGGCAGCAGTTTGGCCTTCGTATGTCAAAGATACTTACACATAACTTTGGAATATTATACGCAATGAGTATCTGTCCCTCTGCAGTCAATGGTGCTATGCTGATTTACAGAGGCTGAAGAGCTGATCCAGAGGCTCCTCTCAACAGGCAGGTAGAATTGGTAAAATTGACTGGGAGCAGTTGTGAACATTCAGATAAAGCAGAATATGCTCCAAGAAACAAATTTAGTGGCTGATGTACAAGAGTGTTCAATTCCATTGCATGGTTTGGAATGACACATGAATGAGTCAGGTCCCCAAAGGTCTCTGAAGCTGCCCTTAGGTGGAGAGAGGCAATTTTCATGGTGAAGGAGCTGAACTGCAAAGCAAAATATAAACTGTAAACATCTGCTCCCTTTCTTATTAATTAACAGTAAATGAATTCACCTTCAGCACATGAATGTTTGGCCAATGAAATCTACAGAGTTGAGACTCCTAATCCAGTCAAATGATTCTGCCCAGCTGTGTTTTGCTTTCAGATTCTTTATGGCCTACCAGCAGAAGTAGATTATAACAGAGCAGCAGGAACTGGAAACATTTCTTTGTATTCTACATCTTTGAATAGAAATGTACAGCGTTTCAGCTAGATGAATGGCTCAAATAGATTTGGGAGTTACCTTGATCCTCACTGTTCCTAAGCAAACCACACAGAATAGGCGTTTGTATACCTGCTGCTACATTCAAGCGCTGTTTGCAGCTAGATTGTTTAGTTCTCTGTACAGTGTGTCTTTTCCTATGATAGGTTACAACAAAAAGACAATATGCCATATAATAAAGCATATTTGCACTTTTTTGACATTTTTACATAACCAGAAATAAATCAACATTTGACCTTTATGTTCTGAAGATACATGTCACTTTGGTTATTACAGAACCAAATATTTAAAGATCATATAATTGTTGGGTCGGCCAGCATGAAAACATTTGCTATTGTATTTTATTTCCATTCCCAGGAGAGACATGCAGCATTTTGGAGTGAAGGTGAGCATAATTGAGCCGGGATGCTTTAAGACTGCAGTAACTAACTCAGAGGTCATTGAGAGAGACCTACTAAGACTTTGGAACCAACTAACTCCTGAGGTCAGAGAATCCTATGGAGATAAATACTTTGTTGAGTGTAAGTACAAATACTTAACATCACTGGACTGGAATGGACTTGGCTAACCTTAGTCATGAACTGACCATTATCTCTTTTGGAGTACAACTCTCCTGTTGGAGTGAAGGGCCTAGTCTCTTGGTGCACCTATTAGATGGGTGGAACATGTTCTGGTTCAGATAACTCTGGTAAAGAATGCTATTCAGCTGACAGAGTGCTCTATTGATAGCCTGGTAAAACATATTATTGTCCTTTGTCCTCAACTCCTGACAGCTAGAGAGCCAGTGGCAGGAGATCTCCTTGATCCTAGGGGGTTGTCACGTCTTTGCTTTGCAGGACACTCCTCACTCATCCATGCAATTCATCACAATGTTCAAAAGTCAGTATACTTCCCAATGCTTTACAGAATAGCTTTTCTTTCTACATAGGATTTCCTATTCTGCTGTTTCACTAAAGAGTATTTTCTCTTCTGCTGCAGGATTTCCTGTTCTGCTGAAGATTAGTTTTGAGTTACTCTTACAGGGTACAAGAACATTTGTAGAGAATTAGAGGGCCTGAGGAAGTTTCAAGAAGAAAGAAAGTGAAGTTTACGTATTAAATATACTTAATTCAGGCTACAAAAGGCAGGGGGATAAACAGTAAAACTTGGAAACATATGTACAGTATACAAAGCCTGCAGTTTCATAGATTAATTATGGGCTAATTAATATTTGTTTCATGAGCAGCAAACAAGCAACTATTACTAACATAAAAATAGAATGATTTCTAAAGCTTTACCATACAGATAACAGTAACATTTGGGTGTGGAGAGCTTCTTTTTCTTTTACAGAGTTTTAGCTGTCAACTATTTAAAATTCTTTTATCAGAGAATGTTTCATAAGCATTCAGGGATTTATTTTCTTCCCTGCAGATGTCAGAGCTCAAAGATTTTCAATGAAAAGATTGTGCGACTCTGATATTTCTAAAGTCATAAAATGCATGGAGCATGCCTTGATAGTAAAATACCCCAGGACACGCTATGGATCTGGATGGGATGCAAAGTTCTTTTGGCTGCCCCTCTCCTATGCACCAACCCTTCTATCTGATATGATGTTGCGTATGCTGCTTCCAACTCCAACAGCCAGTAGGAAATCAGTATCCTGTGTTCCACTTGATGTTTAATATTTAATACTCTAGGATCAAGGCTAAAGTGGTGACTGTTATTCTTTTCAAAATCAGCTGTTCTCTTTCCTACCTATAACTATCTGACTGATTTAATTCTCTTCAGAAAGCACTTTGATTTTTATTGAGTTTCAGTCTGGAGAAAGTTTTTTGTTATATTCATCAGAGATATATTTGCAGTATAACATTCACCTGCAGAGCTGGTCAAATAGTATTTATCAGATAACACGTTTGGTGACTTTGGACCTTTTATTTCCCGAATCAGTCCTGCTATATGCAAATCTATTCTGCTCTTAAAGTCCAAACGTCAGCCTATGAATTATATGATGTTGGTATGCAAAGTGCAACATTGTTAATCCATATATTCTAGTGGGTAGAATATACATGTTCTTTAAGAACACATTTACTCAAGAATTGATACATCTATTCATGTTGAATATGGGTATTTGACTGAATCATGCCACTGAATTTAACAAAGCTGTGAACCTAAAGGCTTAAACTTGATCAAATCAAAGTAAACCCCTAGCGTTTAGTTCCAGTGCTCAACTACATCTATGTGCCTATTTACCATTCAATAGGCAGCTACTATAGAGGAGATAATACACAGGTTATTTCAACAATATGTAATATAAGTGACAAGCAATCAAAGACAATTGTTATCCATTACCACAATATTTATACATTACCCTGATTCCTAATTTTAGTGTGGTTTTATCTGAAAGAGAATACATACGTACATGATGCCTTTTATCCTGAGGGATCCCAGGGGGTTTTACATTTCACCCAATGCTAATGTCTGATGTGAAGCAGATCATTTTGTTTATGGTGTCGTCGATTAATATTACTATATGCAATGCACTAAGCATAGTAAAATACGACTTGAGGTTATAATGCCTCTTGAGATTATAATGCTAAGTGCACTATAGGTTTTTTCCCTGATAAGCCGCTGGTCAGTAGCTGACATGATGGTGTGCATGGTGGTTTGAAAACTGATAGGGTAAAGGTTTTGTTTACTAGAGTTTTGAGTTGCTGATTAATGATTGATATCCAGGTCAATTAAGTTTACAGAAATATCATAGCAAGTCAGATTCTACGCTCTACCAAATGTCTTCAGAGAAAGCAAATTCATTTTACCTCATTTGACGATAAACACACATTAATACATATTTTTCCCTGTCTGGTCCAATGGCCTGAAAGATCCTCCATCTGAGAGAAACTAATGTTATTTATCGCCCTAACACTGGCAGATTACAAAGAGAGATTGCAAGCTCATAGAAAACAGACCATCTTTCAAACATCAATCTAGTGTTCAGAAAGGCAACAAGGGATAGGGATCGTAAAGCGAAGGAAATCAGAGAATAAAGCTGTGAAGAAAAGCCTTAAAGCCTCTGCTGGACTGAGTACCATAGCTACTCTCCATTCATTGACTCATGGAAGGGAGGAGAAGCCTTTGCTATACATTTTACGGGAGAGGAGAGGAAGCCCAAACTGGTGCCCGGGGGTCCCTCTGCCAGAAAAAGAAAGGGTTTTTTAAGCATTAGCAAACATATACACTACGTAAACAGTACAGCCCCGAACAGAGTACATTTCATTTGTGTCTGACAACTTACAAATCTTGTGGAAAAAACAGTTATATATTTAAAGTGAACATGAGTTTTAGCAGTAGATTTTCAGTATGGCTGAAGCTTTATATTTGTGGGTATAATTTGCAAAATTGACACCTGCATTTTTTATGGGTGCAAAGGGAGGCCAGATTTGGGAAATGTAGGCCTTAATATCTTCTCTCTCTAAAAATTCAAGTATAAGAACTTTGTGGGTCTTTCCTTCAAAAAAAGAAGCCACTTTTTAAAAAACACCTTCCTTTGTAAACTGTTCCCCAGATTATACTAGGAACACCTTAAAGTAAAGCACTGGGGTAAAATGGAGTTACCAACCCATTATTTGTTTTACTCAGGTCTGTAACTGCCTGAATATTCATAAAGCACTAACTACACTCCCTATGTCCTATTCCACCATATACTGAGCTCAGTGTAACGGCTTGGAAAGAGCCTCTTTGAAGTAGTCCCTTCTTTGGTAGTTCCAAAATACTGAGCAGAGAGATTATAACAGAACTATGTACCTGAAAAGGTTTACCAGTCTGAAGCCAGATCCTCGCTAGTATTAACTGGTGTAGCTTAGTTGAAGTCAATGGAGTTACACCAATATATACCAACCGCCAATATGGCCCCTGATTTTACAGAATAAGAGATATACTGTACATGTTTACACAGGTTCATTTGTAAAATGCAATTTATTATACAACTTTTGTGCAAAAGGCACTGTTCATAACTTTTCCAGGATGTAACAATTCTTATGTATTGTTGGATATTGCATTATTGTTTAAACTGTGAATAAAATATATCATAGAAGAGTTGTAAAAATGATATGATTTACAACATTCCACGCCAACTTTTGGGGTGAGATGCACTTACTCACGAAGTTAAAATTGCAAGCAACTAATGCATGAATGGAGTACATCTTCTGAATCACGCTTACGTGCAAATCTGCACCAACATTAAAATCAGTTCCCGCAATAAGATCACACCCGCATGGGTTTCATGAATCAATGGGTACAGCTTAAAACAGAGGGTTTGGCTTGAACAAAAGTGGATGTGTTTCTCCAAAGCAAAACCTTTGAGTAAGCTGCCTTTCAAACCCAACACAAAAGCTGTGCCAGCTACACCAATAATATTATTCCAGTTGGAGGCGGAATAAAGCAGGTGCAGCCAGCTCTATTTTCCCTTGGCACACAGACACCAGAAAGACATCCAGGTAAAAGGTCATATCGTGATTCTTGGGCCAGGTATTTGGCTAGCACTCCCACAAGAACAGGAATATTAGGCAAACACTTGGTTCAAGAAGTAAGACACAGCATAAGGCTGCAGGGAGACAAACCTTGACCCTCGCAAACATTTGCCTGAACTGGAGGCTTCCAATGTATTTAACAAGTGAAGTTTAGCACAGCAATAGCAAACATATGTGTTGGTCTAAGATCCCAGTTTGGTGCATGTGGATTTGAAGTATCCTATTACTCTAATACACCTATGTTGACCAACACAGTGACAGGCATTCATCCTCATCAGAACAGAGACTACTGGATAGGAACTCATGAAGGATATTAACAACAGTGTTAGCAGCATGATAGCGTAGGCATTAATTTGCATGTATTTTCTCCAGGGAGGTCTACAATTACTAGTATGATATGCATGTTGGAGCATACAAGCTGAAGTTTGGCCTTCTGTGATTTACTGGGATTGGAGAGCTGTACAGCCAGAGCATAGGCCTGGAAACCAGAAACTTTTCACCTCTAATCCCAGTATTGACATCAACTCCTTCTATGGCTTCCAACCAGTCAGTCTCTTTGCCCGTTTCACAATCTGTAACTGTGAATAATAGTTTCCTACTTTACAGGAATATTGTGAGTATTAATATGTTAAATGGGAATGATTTTCATCTCATGCTTTACCAAGGTATAACTGACTTCAGTAGAATTCTGATTTACCCCTCAGTGTGTAACTAGGCTCAAATGTTTGGAAAGTACTAAGTACTTTTATTAGTGTTCTCTAAAGCACTGCTTTTTTTCAGACTGTACTGAAAAATCCAGATTATGACAGATTTGTATGGTGCATTAGACTCAATAATTTGTGGATTAAGAATATGATAAAATAACACATTTATTAGATTTATTCAGCAGCATCATTTTCCAGTTATCTTTTCTAATCAAAATACATTTCAAAGTCATTACAACAAGCATTCTAAATAGGGATAGCATATATTTTGAGAACTCAGGCATAAAACAATCAAACAGCGGAAGTCTCATTGATTATAAATTGAGGAACCTGCAGTTATATGAGTAACTAGCCAGGAATGCTAAATAACAGAATAGAGTATACGTTCTTGCAGTGGTGCTCAGACTTTCCTTAACCAGTTCATGTTATGGAAACTAAACTGGCTAATTAGTGGAAAAGCTAGCAACATGTACAGTATATTCTGATAGAACATTATGGAAATAACCGGATGACCTACAAATATTGCATCAGTAGAAACTGTTTCCCTTTCTATTAATGTCCACCTCAGGAAATAAATAGTCAATAAAAATTAAATTTTTCACATGAAAAAAGCTGGTTCATTTTTAAATTAACCAGCATCTTTTGTACTTTGCTAGCTACTTCATTTAACACTACAAACGACTTCCAGAGACTCCAGCCAAGAACAGAGTTATTCCATTGATGATCAGGAGAAAATCTCATTAAATTAAGTATGAAATTACTGCCTGGTACTAAAATTTAAATATATCAAATCTTCCTATGTATGCTGTTAATGGGATTTTTTAATTGGAACCTAGAGGGAAAATACATGTCTTATGGATCTTGGGAGGAATTATTTGATTTCAACCAGACAAAATATTGCAAGAACAACATTCTGTGTAGGTAGCTATTCAGCCAAAATACGCTGTACTGAATTTTCCATCTTTTGTTTAATATGAGATATACAGAGAGAGAGAGAGAGGACAGAGAGACCCATTTTTATATACAGTAGTATATTAAATGGGTAGTAGAGATGCACAACGCACCAGTACAAGTTTAAGAAGGTGCTGTTATAAATATATGCTCTAAAAGTTTCTGTAAATCAGTAAACCTCTATATTTACCTTGAGTTTTTTAGTTAGATCATTTATATAATGGATTTATCCCTAAAGATGCAACAACCGATTCAGAACAGATTTCTTTAGCTACATCAACAAACAAGATAATCTTTCAAAAATTTACAAATGTACAATATATTTATAACATTACTTTCAGACAGCTTCAGTGCAAAGATATACATATAGTACACCATGATAACTGTTCATAAAAACAGCAGTTGGCATTTATCAGAACAACAAGGCATAGCTTCAAAAGACGTCTTCAGCTATTGGCTAAACGGCGTATATATATTTTTATAAAGCATTTGAATGTGAACCTTTTTCCTTCTGTTTATAAAAAAATCTACGTGCAAATGGGTATGTCTAACTATTCTCTTACTGATTAACTAGTTATACAACAGAGTCCTCTTTAACAAGATTGGCGGTGTCTTTAAATGTATCCTCTGTTGCTGTATAAGCTAAAGGTGGGTCTCTCTTGAGAATAATCTTAGGAGGCTGTGAAGGAGAGGGGAGAGAGGCATTTTCAGTGTCCCCTTCTTGTTCCTTCTCCATCTGAAACAATCACCATAAAACCCATGGTTTAACATGAACCGTTCACTGTAGGTTTGATTTCAGAATTGCTAAGCATTCATAGCTCCTGTTGAAGTCAATGAAGTAGGTGGATACTCAGCCCCTCTGACCACCCGCCCATATATCATTATTTAAACACGGGCTTCACCTCAGCAGGCAAAGCTGAGAAAACAATAAATCACTAAACTAGTCAGGGCTGATCCTGCCAACAATTACTACCACCCATGGTGTTTAACAATGAGTAATTTTATATGTCCATACACACTCACTACTCTAGATAATTATTGAGGTAACTGGCACTACTTATGAAGTAAGCATTATCTCAGTAGTGTTTGCCGGGCTGGGTCCTTTGCTTTACAAATTCCCACTCCATCTCACAGTATGAGACAAATAGGGTAAAATTTTCAAAAGCACCTACATGTCTTGGCACCTAAGTCACATTTTCCAACGTGACTGTGGAGAAGTTACTTTCAATGACACTTAAACTCCTACATGCCTAATTTGGGACTTAGGCTCCTAAGTCACTCCGGAGCATTTGAAAATTTTACCCACAGTGTGAGACTCTTGATCTGGCCCCTTTGTGCTAGGTAAAAGGGTCCTAAGCGCCAGTGTCCAGCCATGGGAGAATTCCCCTGATGCAGGCACTGTAGAAAACCACTGTAAGGCTGCCTTACAAGAACCCCCTCACAAGCATGCCAAGGGTGGGTTTGAGGATAGAGGGGAGAGCTCAGAGCAGGGCCATAGCTTGCAGCACTTCAGAGATTTTGGGCAGTGATGTGGCTCATAGGGCAGCACCAGGGGGCTATTGTAACTTAGTCTTTGTCTACACTACACTTTTGTCAGTAAAACTTTTGTCATTCAGGGGTGTGAAAAAACACACACACTCCTAATGACAAAAGTTTTATTAATGAAAAGTGCCAGTGTAGACAGCACTATGTCGGCAGGAGAAAGCTACTGCCTCTCGTTGGGGATGGATTTATTTTGTTGGTAGGAGAGCTCTCTCCTGTCAACAAGGAGTGGCTATACTGCGCACCTTTTAGCGGCATGGCACAGCTGTGTCGCTAAAAGGTGCATAGTGTAGACATAGCCTTAGATAGCCCTGGGGACTTATGCCAGCAGCCTCTTCAGCCCCAGGAACAGCCTAAGGTTGGGAGGGTGTAACTGTGGCTTTAAATCCACCCCAGCCTCTTCTTCCCGTGCTGCATGTGCTGTGCTGTGCCTCTTACTGGTGCAGCCCAGACTCTTATCCATAATCTTTATACTATAAAAACAAACATTAATTCATGCTTCCCACATCATCAGAACCAACCCCGCTTGTGAGCTAGGTGAAAAGTGCAGGCTGAGAATGAGAGTGATACAATTAAGAGTTACCTCTGCATAGATTGGATTTTCAAAATTAGTACTTAGTTTCAGTTTTCTTTTGAAGAAACTCCACTTTGTTTTCTGAAAGATGAAAATAATAGAACTTTACTAATGAACTCTTTAGCAGAACAGTTTTCTCCCCTTTCATTTGCAAAATGACAATACCAGTGAGGGAGGGTTTTCAATAGCATTTCCTATTGGTTCTATCCATAAGTGATGTATTCAGGAAACGTTCAACCCAGCCCCTTTTATTTAATGTTTTTTTAATTAAGCTCTTTTGATGTAATTTTTTTAAAGCCTATCACAGATTCTAAGTGCTTTGACAATTGTTAAAATGACAACCCATCTGTTACAACACAGTTAAAGTCTCTAAAAATGTAATTTCTCCTTCAGAGAGTACAGACATTGTTTGTTTGGGGTTTTCTGAAGGCTCATCAGAAAAAAAACATATCAGATGGAACCCACAAATTGTTCCTAAAATGGCCAGTTATACTATTATTCCTGACAAAGCCTCTAATCCTTCACCAGACAACCAGCCTCAGAAGGCAATTCAGTGGATCTTTTCAGTACAGGGAAAATAAACTAGGTTTTCACTACCACCCACTTAATTCTTGTTTAAGTCACCGTATGGGCTAACAGTCATCTCCCTAAATCTACCTTTTAATACTCAGTAATGTCATCCAAATGAACTCATCTTAGACTATTTCCCTTTCACCCCCCTTTTGTTGTTAGCATTATTTGCTTATTTGTAATACAGTAGTAGCTAAAGGCCCCAACTGGAATCAGGGCTCCACTGTTCTAGGCACTTTACAAACAGATGGAAAGAGATAGCCCCAGCCTCAAAGAGCTCATATTTGAAGTACACAAGACAGAAAAAGGGAAGGAGGGGAAACAGAGGTCAGGCAAGTCAGTAGCAGAGCTTAGAATAGAACCCAGTTCTCTTGAGTTCCTGTCCAGCTTCCGATCTAATAGGCCAATTATTGTTATTTTAACTAAAGCAGTATCCACAAGGTAAGACGACAGCAGATAAAATGACAACATTTATTTATAGAGAGTAACACTACATATGGACTCTACGCAAATCAAATGGAAAAGAAAAAACAGGTATGAAATTATAAAATGAGAAATACTATAATGACTGAGCAACACTCAAGTATATACAGGAATACAAATCCCTGTGAGCTCTGCCTGGAAACTGGGGTCCATCCACAAGGAGCAAATTGTAGAATCAGGCCCTAAAAGAATGCTAACCTGTAAACAAGAGCCACATCACTAACGAAAGTAATTCAATAGATTTCTCTTAGCCTCAGTTTCCAGAGAAGTTCCAGGGATGCTCTATCATTCTGCAGCATCAGCATTTACACACACATGCTGTCAACTCAATGGGCAGGATAACTTAGCACCTAAGTTAAACACTCAGCCTTTCAGTCCACTCACCAGATAAGCCTGGGACTTTGCTTCCACCACAAGCAAAACCCTATCCTAACTGCCTTAACGGACCTCCTCTGCCCCTCAAGAAAACTTCAATAGTATGCACTTTGTTATCATTTTGTTAGCAACGGGTGTGCAGCCAGCAAAATATTCTCTGGCGCATGCCCACTGAAATTCATAATGAACCTCAACTGGTAATTTATGTGAGAGATGAGCTAAAGAGTAGGATAGCCTTTGCTTATATGTATTCTCAGAAATAATAATGTGACTTCCAGGAATCACTTGACTAATCTAGGTGAGAAGATTCTTTGATGTCCAACACTGAAAATACTCAACAATACTCAAAACAACTGTTCTGTATGCAGCTGATGCATGAAATTGCAATGTTTAATGTTGCCATGGTTATAAGTAGAATATAAAAACATGATTAAACTACACACATGATAAACCTCTTACATTTTCATTACAATGAATCAGATTTCAGTTATTTTAGATTAAAGTGTAGTGTTACTGTCTATGAAAAATTGAACATTTTTATGCAGATGTATTTCAGT